GCGTGGGGCGTAGGCATTCACAATGCCCGGAAGCAATGAAATCCAGTTTTCAATATCCGCCGGATTCACGCTGGCTGCTTCGCCATTCACTTGGCGGTACGAGATGCCATGGCGAACCCGAAATCGGTCCATCCAGCCGTTCGAAGCTGCGAAGTCCTCGATACCCATGATGTCTGCTATCTCCATGGCCTTTTCCCGCAGAATGCTGCCGTCGAAGTTCACACCAGACGCCCGTGCTTGCTTAAACCACTTAAGCAGTGCATCCTCCAACTCTCCGTGCTTTGCTCCGCGGGCCTGTTTCGTCGCTGCACCGAAGACCAGGGCGTTTTCTTCTATTTGCTTTCGTTTCGACACGACCGTGTTGACCGTCGACGCAGGCAGTCCGAGGTCCTTGGCGATGTCAATTCTTTTCCGTTTAGGGTCCCGGTCGACAAGTGCCAGGATGTTCAACTTTTCCCTCAAAGTCAAAGGTTTCCGCTTGCGCGATGCCATCGCCGGTTATCGGGCACGGGTACGGAAAGAAGCTAGGCAGACGCGCACTACGGCACGGCAACAGAGAAATGGCGGAATGCCGACCTCGCGAAATGTCAAACAAAAAAGTTGTCAGGTTCGTTCATTTACTACCACCCGTACATGGCTCAAGAGTTACTCTTAGGGAAGCGTTTATCATCCTCAGAGGCGCGTAGCCAGTTTAAATGGTGTCTTCAAGCATTTGATAGAGTAACCGAGAGTGACTCTTAGTCACGTGTCACGTGTCTATCATGAAAACGACTAAAAATCAAGAAGCGAACGCGAACACATCGACATCGAGAACGTTCGGCGTGCGGTGCGTGCGGCGACAACCGTTCTGCCCGGAAAGATTGGGAGCTCATTGCCCAGAAAACGTATAATCCGATCGATGTTTAGTAGAGGTGTGCGAATATCAAAATCTTTCGAAGCGAATCGAATCGAATAATAAAGGTTACGAATCGAATCGAATCGAATATTTTCGAATACGAATAGTAGTTCCAAATAAGGATATATTTGAAAACAAATATTTTCTATTTGATGTGAATTAAACAAGAATGCTTAATAAAAAAACACAACTGGAATTTTTTTTCAACAAACGTTTCTGAAAAGGTTACTTTTCTTGCAATAAGAAAAATGTTCCACATATGACTGTTAAAAGAAACAGATGAAGAAAGATCAGTCAGTAAAATACCATTCCTTGAGTGAGGTTAGAGAACGTAAATGAAATTGCAAAAGTGAAGGCGGGTCGGCAAGCCACAACGCAGTCGAAGATCGCATCGCGGACGAAAGGAGGCACTTGAGCGTAAACGCAAGTACGCAAGCGGTGGCGGGTCCGCAAGCCGCAATACGAAGTCGATGATTGCGCCTCTACTTTGTGCGATCTCTTTTTACGCTCGTGAACGCAACCACGTGAACGTAAACGGAAGTACACAAGCGGAGGCGGCTCGACAGGCCACAGCAGAGTTTCAGATTGCGCGATCGCGCTGCGCAACCGCACTGACTATGCACCATCTCTTTCCGTGTGCAATAGTTCTGTCCATAGAGGGCGCCACAAAGATGCAATAAATTAAGAATATGTTGTTTGTTTTGTTTTTTTTGGCGGGGGGAGGAAGTCTCACTTTTATCATTGAAAACGGGTAGAAATAAATAACAAAAGGAATACTGGCAAACTGATAAACCGGAAAATCAAGCGGAAAATAACACAAGCCAGATATCACCGATAGCCGAGGTGAGCCATAAATCCATATCCGAATCCATAGCACCTTGGCTACTGTATTCATTGTAGGTACGAAATCACGAATATATGGTTGTGCTACATTAAAAATGAATGCGGACAGGAACGTATACAAGACGTCTCTGGCGGACGCCCGAAACGTCGTGCGGTACGTCGCGACGATGCATGTGCCATTGCAAACCGTAGTCCTTCATCCTATCTATCACAGCGTTTGCACCACGACCACTTAGCCAACTCTGCAATCCGGACATCACGGCAAGCAAAGGACAGATCGCGCTACCGCGTGCAAATAACTTTCCAATCCTTTCTACAAAAAAAAAAAAAAAAAGAAAAAAAAAAGAGATACTTAGGTTGGTTGTGTAGGTTTGCCAAGCTCGAAACCATACTGCGCAGTCCAAAAACAAAACAGAGAACTCGACCGCAAGTTGACACTAATCAATGAGTTCCGCGTTATTCGTAGTTTTCGAAGTATTCGAAGAACTCGAATAGTTCGAACAGCGAAAGGGCGAAGCGAATCGAATCGAATAGCAAGCATTATTCGCGAAGTATTCGAAGTTTCGAATATTCGCACACCCCTAATGTTTAGCGAAACTTTGGACGTACTTCCCGGGAAATCGTATTATCCAGAAACGTATGAACCAGTCGTAACTCTATGGGACATTTTTCGAGCCCTCGATTCTGAACGTATGAGCCGGGAAATCGTATGAACCGAGATCGTATCAACGAGGTTCTACTGTACAATTCTTTCAATGCAGTTTCCAAGCGTGTGCAAAAAAAGTCACGCCTTTTAGCAGGAAATTACTCGAGAACAGACATCAGCTTCGAGCAGACGAATGCCGTTTCGCGCAAACACAACTGCGACGGCCACCGATCGAACCAGGGGCGCTTGCAAAGCAAAGGATGCATATTTCGCCTCTGAAGCAGCAACTAGGTAGACGAAGCGGCTTCTGGGTACTCATTTCGGCGGATTCACTGGATCGGTGATGAGGCTGCGGGTCATTCCCTTAGAGGCGATGTCCGCGGGTCAAAGACAAATGGCGAATCGTTGAAATGCATGTCGTCACTTGACTTAGACGAGCTTGGTTAGTCGTAGCCACGCTTTATTTTCGCATGCGGGTCAATCAGAACTTGGCTGCACGCGTGCTAAATACTACTATCGTCTCCAGGTGGTCTAGCTGTTGGTTTCGGTTTCGCTGCATAATCAAATTGATTGATCCGATTTCGGCGAGGAGTGGATGGACGTAGTTTAATATCATTGGCACAGCATCACACCTCACCTTTCGAGGCTTCTGCTTGCTCAGAGCTCAGCTCGTAGCTCTCTTCTGCGAGATGACTGCTGCGTAAGCGGGATCTCAATCTTGATGGGAACCCAGTCCCCACGCACAGTGACGATCCATTTTGCTCGTCTCTGCACGTCTCGCGGAAAAGTGGAATGTCTTGTCTTGGCTCGCATGTGCTGCCCGGTGGTTGTGGCACCCAACCGCACAACAAAAATCTCACCCAACTACGAAATAAGTCGAGCACAACAAAAACGAAGCACGCTGAGGCGTTCACTCGCAGGTAAATGACGAGACAGAAATGCTCGCTTTGTGTTGTGTGACGCCAGAGCTCCATTGTTGCCACCGAAAGCAGCATTTACGCTAGAGTGCGATTGGAGCAGTATAAATTCAATTACTCATGCAGAGGGGCATATAAAATTCAGATATTGCATGTGCGATTGGTCACGAGGCAGTAACAATGATATTCAATAGTTTTCTCAAATACAAAATTTGACTGGACAATCCCTTTAACGTAATTTGATTCTCTTTTTGTTTTTTTATAAAACTTGAAAGGGTTCTGGCCAATGGTGACTTGAGCAGAAATGGTGTTACTTAGCCACGGCGGGAGATAAGCAGACATTGCTGACTGGGAAGGGCAGTCGTCCTTAGTTCATCGTCCTTCCCTGAGATTTCATGTTTTGCAACTCACAGAACCTGGAACTAGCAGCTTCGTTTTCCAACTTTTTTTTTGTCGCACACTGAAAGTTGGCTTACTTCTTTTTTTCACCCAATGGGCTTCCGATTTTAGGTGGACTATGTCTAGATGTGACTGTACTGTCATGCATGATTATAGAAAGCTTATCGGGTGGTTATCCACACTATGATGATGATGAAGATAGTGCGACAGTAGCGCCACCCCTAGGTCGGTCTTGAGGTGAACATTGCTTTCAAAGAGAATGAAGGACTATTTAAAAATGGAGGGATGAGAAATAAAGTAATTAATTGAGGATTTTTTTTTTAATGAGTTAAATTTAGAAATTTAAGCTAAGCCAATTTTGGCTGGTATTCTGAGTATATCCGGGGATCCATCATTTTCGATATGTATTAATCTTAGATTGGTCATATTATCCAAGAACAACCTATGTAAAGGTGGCCACAGTACAGGGCTCAAAGCTAGTTCGATAAGCATGGATTCCTGTTTATGTCAGTTTCACTTCACATGTATTTGGCTCATTTTGAAAAGAAACTCCTCAAATATTTTATGTGACAGGAACTTGTCTAGTCAGATTTTTCATACATTTTTCTTGGCTTTTGTACTCGAAAATTGGATATTTTTAAAAAAAAACCAAGAATTTTCCAATTTTTAGTTTTTTTCTGACAGCAAAAGTTTAAAAAGAAACATGTTTTTAACATTAACTTGTTAAAAATATAAGATCTGGAAATGTCCAGTTCTAGTGATAGACCACCAGTACCGTGATCCTGTCGCACATCAGTGGTGAGACTGCATTTACAAATAAAACTTCGCACGATGGGGGCGTGTGAATCATGTTACTGAAAGAAGGAAAGGGATGCTTTGAGTACAACATGACAAACGCAACGACACAAGGACATAACCTTCGATAATTATAGCTCGAGCGCATCGGGAGCTTTACGGCACCGATAGGCTGCAGGGTAGGTTTTCTGAACCCTTTCTGTCCACATTGCGCAACAGTCAATCGTTTGAGCGTCCATCAAACTTCCTCAACAATAGAGTCCACATTTCCATCTTCCTGTCGTACGCAGTGTAAGCAGCCCATATCATTCCAAACAACATTTTGTCTGCACAACCAAAAGGTATGCGCACGTCGCAGACGGGGTAGTACGCGGACAGATAACGCCCAGCAGATAGCGTCTCCCATTGTTTGGGACTCTCAGAATTGGAGGTTGGCCGAGGCTATCTGCGTCTTCCAATTGAAAGAAGAGATAATGTCACTTCCCTCTTGTTTTTGTGGCGGAAGGTATGTGCGGAAGATCCACCCGGACTCTTCGCGCCAGTCCCTTGACCTGCCCGAGACGCCGGCTGCCATAGAGGAGGAGCTGAGCCACCAGGAGCAGGTGCTGAACGAGATCCACGCTGAACTCAACGCTGGCCTCAGGGACCCACAAAAGGAGGAGCAGTTGTGGGAGGTCCAGCGCGTTGTGACTCAACTCAAGCGCAAGGTAGAGCTGGGACCACTCTTTCTAAGTGCAGGACCTCTTTTCGGGCTGCTTTTCAAGTCTGGAACATCACAAAACATTGCGACGAAAACTATGGCCGGTAGTCTTTGCGAGAGACTGCGTCCCTTGGCAGGTATATGGCCGCCGACCTCTCGCTTCGTAATTTGATACCTTATCCCCCGAGCTGGCCGAGCGGCTATTGGCATCGTGAAAGCGAGAGTGTATGTGGGGTGTTTCATTTTAATTTAATTCAAATGTATCTTTACAAAAAGAAGAGGTGAAAGTCGCTTGGGTGTGGCCTTTGTGCCATTTATTTATAAGGTTCGGCGGACGTTGGATGAGGGAGTAACTATCGTGGTAAGTCAGCTAATAGGTCAAATCTGTCTAATAACTTTTTGATCTTTGGTTTTATAAGTCGTGTTGCAATAGATCCTTTTGGAAATTCAGTCTAGCCGCTTTGATAACTGTCGTCACCCGAGTGTATTTCATCTGTACGTGCTAATGGTGGCCTCTTGGTGGTTTATAAAGAAGGAAGTTAAAGACTGGACCCGGATGGTGAGCCAGAACATTCCAGACATTAGAGGGAAGCTGAAACACTTCTTTAAAAAATGAGATAGAGGTTGATTCTAGCGTAGTTTTATCTGATTTATTTTTTTGTTATTTGGAGTTTATTTTTGTTTGATTCCCAAATCGTATGGAATTCTGAGTTTATTTTGCTGCATTCCCAAGTTAAAAAAAAAAAAAAAAGAAAGTTATTTTTGGGCATCAATATCTCTTGTCTTAATGGAACCCTGATGAGCTAAAAGGCAAGCTCTCTTTTGTCAGTATTTTGAGATTTCAAAGGAAACTGATTTGCTTTTTATTTTCTCATTGCTACCTTGAAATACTGAGTTTTTCGGATAAATCTGAGTCGACCGAAATGTTACCGGCAAGTGTTTTTTTGGATTTTTTTCGGATTCATGCAAAAACACGTAACCCTGAACGTAACCCATAAAACCAATAATTAAAAAGTCAACGAATTTTAGTTAAGTAGCCGACTCACCCTGACGGTTATTTCCTCATCCGACGTCCGCCTAGCCTGACAGATGCATGGTGCAGAAGGCATCCGTCTAACTCTCGCCCCCTTTTCTTATAAAAATCCATGGGAATTAAAATCGAATACCCCACTTGTGCTGGTGTTCCTCAAAAAGCTTTGCACATCCTGCGTGTCTTGACCGTAGAACTAACGTACCGTAAAATACCGACCAAGTGCCCACTCAAAATCGGGAGGTAATCGTGAAAAACCGGGCGCCTGCTAGGCCCAAGAGCGAAGATGTAGGAGGAGCACGCGGTGGGGTGGGCCCTCGCTTGGTCCGACCGCTAAACTCGGAGTGGCCGTAGCTTTCCTAGATAGCCAAGCGCGCTAGCTCGTGAAAACGAAACCTCGGCATTTTTTCGCCAACGAAAAAGTTCCCTACGACTCTCAAAGCAGTTTTTGTGCCAGCGGCACTCCGCACAGAAACTGACGCCATTCTCCCTAGGCCTAACCCCTTTCACGATTTCATCGTCCGAACACGGACCACAGGCCATGGCACGTTAAATTTTATCTATGTATCCGACGGACGAAACATGTCGGGGGCCAGGCAATTCCTCGACCCCAATACCGTTGGCCATGCGCGCCGCGCAGTTACATTGTTTATTGCAAAGTTAATGGACTTTGCAGCTGCGAGAGAAATGAGAAAAAAAAAATCAATACTGTTAATCGTTGCAAGGGGGTGCGTTCTTTGTGCAAATAAGTGCGGTTTATTGAGAGAAATTAAGAAGTGATGGGCTATGCAGAATTTACCGTACAGCACCAATCAGGCGCCCACTGAAAATTTGGAAATAATTTCAAGAGTGTGGGGCTTGTTAGATTACAAATTTTATCTATATTTGTACTGCGCATATCTTTTCAGATGTTACAACATTTAGGGATGGGCGCTTAGTGTGGAATGGGCGGATGCTCGGTATTTTACGGTGGTCTGTCACCAAAGTCGCGACCCAGAGATGCAGCAGCACTAAACCGTCGTTAGAATGAATGTGGATGATATGTTTGTCAATCAAATGAGGGTGCTCTACCAAGACATACTATTCCTGCTTACTTTTCTTTTGTTGTTGTAAACCTGAATGTAGGAGTTTTTGTTTTTTCTCCTTTTTAAATGTAAATTAATAAAAAATTTACTGCTGATTTTTTTTTTTCTTTCAAATTTTATTACATTTATTTCGTAACACAAAATCTAACTTAGGAGTTGTAGGTCTACTTTATCTTTTTTACAGCTAGAATATTTTAGCTTGACAGTGTGCAGCGAGTTTCATTGTTCCGAGACCTGGTCATGTCTCCTGTCGACCTCGGGACGAATTCATTTTACCAAGTTTTCAAAACGGTTTTCCCAAAAGTTTGCACGTCGGGGTTGACCGCCTACAGCAGTCACCGAGTCACCATGCCAGAACGAGGGAGCCCTCCCCACACCCACCCTGTCTTGGGTGCCTCAATGCCCTTTTGTTTAGGGTAATGCCATTCTTTGTAGTATCCGATGCCGACAGCACGCACTCATAGGGAAAACGCTAAGAAATTGACGGCAAACAAATGCCACCGTAATACTGTCAGTGCCAAGAGCTCGTGCTGGGAAACGCTCTTGCGCACGCACCAGAACAAAAAAGGAGTGTCAAGCAAAATGGTTGGATGTCGTCACCCTAGGCAGAGCACGCATGAAGGCACCCCGCTCTGCACAGCTCCGCGTCTTGAAGCAAGTGAAGAAGGTTCCACCGGAGGTGCCCGCTCCAGACACCGGCGACTCCATCGACACGAGGCTCCAGCTCCCGCCTGTCCCGGAGCAGGCGGGACAGCCCTCCGAGCCAGCCAAGACGGTGCTGGCCCCTCCCCCTTCCATGCCGCAAGGCCCTAAGGTCATCGCGTGCAAGATGTCGGCCTCCGCCAGCGCCGGCCACGTCCTTTCGGAGGCCGTTGCGGTCCAAAACGGGACGGTGCAGCCCACTCCGCGGAGCTCCACGACTCCGTTGGATGCCGGTGTTTCCCCGTCGAAGCCACCGGGGTCGAGGGAGGTAGTTTCGGAACAGCGAGAGTTTGCCTCCAGTGTTCAGGTGGGCGGTTTGTCTGGCCTGCGCCGTCTGCTGCCTGTGCCTGGCCGTCCTCTTCTGCTTGCTGCAAAGACAATGTTGGCCTGGGCCTTCGATCCGTGGAAGACTTCATGTCTGCTGGCTTTTGCGAGCACTGCATGTCTGCTTGCTTGCACCTTTGGACATTGCCACTTCTGCTGCGAGTCTTTCACTTTCGCTTTGCATCTCTGTTTCGTGCCTGGCGTCTGCCTGCGGCCGGCGACATAAAGTTTGGAGAGTCTTGGGGGCGGCTTGTGCATCCATATGTCGGTGGTTTGTGCGCCATTTGTGACACTGGGCAGAGTTTGAGAGGCACAGGCTTCACAAACATAACCTTGTGTCTTCTAGGTGATGCGTTTTAGCACTATGGCACCCATTGTTTTATAGCATCTTTGTCACTTTTATTGGAGATATCTTGCTTCTTTTTGATGGGCATGATTTTCTTTAATCGGTTTGAATCTTGCTTTTCACTTTCTAATGGCACGTAGCACATACATGGGACCTTGGATTCAAACCCTACTCCTGCCCGTTTTGTTCTGGATAAGCATACCAACATGCAGTTGCGTATCACTGCTGCGTGATGAACTCTCTAAAGATCCCAAACTCGCTGATCAGCTAACTCTAGAAAACTTTGGAGTACGGGGGGGTGGTGTGCCAAAGTTACCACTCCTGCAACAGGCACAAGTGTTAACATGCGAAAACATGGATGATGATAAGATCATTCATGTTTTTGCACCGCTAGCCTTGCGCCTGTGGCACAGGTGGTGACTTTATAGAGCATTACCGCACTTCCCACACACTCCACGTCTGTTTAAAACTTACAGATTTGGTGGTTTTCGATTATGCTCTGCATGTTTCTAATTGGAACCATATGTTTATTTTCATTGATGAAAAAGTTAATTTTTTAAAAATATTAGTTAATTACCTCACTTATCATGACCCATGTGGCCCCCTGATTACACCTCCCTGGCCGTACAACTCGCCCGCACAGACCGCATTCGTGTGGCTTTCACGCAACAGATTTGTAAAACCTAAAAATAAACAGCCTGTGTATGCGATGGAGCTGGAATAATCTCAGCAAGAGTAACCTAGCAACTCTTGGAAGTAGGCTTTGAGCCTAGAGTACAATATATGCATTGCATTCTTCCGAAGGCTCATATACGTGGGTGCATGTGGCATTATTTAGGCAACGGACTGTGCGTTCAACATGTAGTGTTTAGTGCCAGTACTTGTATCTATTTGTGTATTTTCATATGCAGTGGCAGTTTTCCAATTGCATTACAATATTATCAATGGGAGTTTCCCAAGCATGTGGCCATGTTTGAACTGTCGCCTGATCTTGATTTCTGTTTGCCTTTTCTCTTGGTTAGGAGGATGCAGCTGGCAGTGGAGAAATGCAGGCCACCGGTGATCTCAAGGACGACACCTGCGAGAAACATTTGACCGAAGGTAATAATTTTTGATTTGTCAGCTCATTTTCATAAATTTGCCGTGCACTCAATTTCATGTTCATTCCCTCCCCAAAGTACTCGTTCACTGTTTTACGGTTGGGCTTCTTGCATTGTCTGGCTCCAGGTGCTTCTTTAAAAAGCAGAATAACAGCTGCTATCATATTGTTATCAATGAATACTTTAAATGTGGATCAAATATTACTTTAGTCCGTGACAAATGCTCGGCAGGTCGTTATTGTCATTAAATGAGCATCTTTTCCTCCAAAAATTAGCCATGAAAGGGGTATGCAAATATTCAAAATTTTGAATAGTTTCCGAATTGTGTTTGCCATTCGGTTCGATTAGCAAGGAATGGTTACTACTTGAAGTATGTGAGTATTTTGAATATTCAGAAAATAGTAACGATGTCTTGAGACTTTCTTCTCGTGCCAAACTTCACAGCATCGCGCTAGTGCTCTTGCATCAAGCTTCACCACTTTTCATTGGCTCGCACGTGTCAAGGTTCACTGTTTAGCAGCTGCATTCTCGGAGAAGCAGCCGATGCACAGAAGCATCTCCATTTGTTTTGATGAGCTTACGATTAGAGTCAACCCTATTTTCGAAGGACAATGCTGGAAAAAAAAGTGTCAGCCTATATTCAGATAAATAAGGTAGTCATTGCTCTGCTTGCCATGTTACAGTATGTTTGACCCGACTTGTTTAGTCGGGGACTTTTTTTTTCCATTGAACGCAGGTATGTAAAATGTTCCACGTGCAATGAAGCAGTTCCTCTTCCTCGCCTCGTTTGATGACGAAATATTTTCAGCTGCAGCTATTACTTATGCTTAGTCCACCTTAAATGTAAAATATGCATATTCTAAAATATTCTATTTTATTCATATTTAATTCTTCATATTCATATTAGATTTGCAGTCAAAAATCTTATGTTTGCACACATTGAATAAAAATGCGCTAAAATGTTAGTTGGTCATAGGGAAGAGAAATTTGAGCCAACCTAAGTAAGACCGTGAAAGAAAGCCTGCTGAGCCTTGTTTGAGGGAGCACTCGAGACTTGACTTAACGTGCCACTCCATTTGTGTGCTAGCTTTGGCAGTGCTTTTTCTTCACACAGTCAGTGTTTCTAGCAAGCCGGCTCCGAAAGAATCGGAGGCTTTTTGAAGTCTGTCCACTTCATTTGTGCAGCGTGTACTTTTGTTAAAAGATGGGTACAATGATTTTTGTACTTCCCTTAAATGCCGTTTATAATTGCCTCGAGGCTCATAACCCACGAAACGTGCATCACTCTTTCTCTTCACACAATGGCAGTTCTGGAAAAAAAAAAAAAAAACGGGAGACACCTGGCAGTGTTTGTCCCCTCTACTCGCAGCCAGAACAAGCGGCCAAGTGACCCAATGCCGATCAGTGTCCGTCGTACACGCACGCTGGGGTTGGCAAACCACGGAACGTGCTCAGTTCCAGACACTGTTAGGGCCGGGCTGTTCTTGTCACGACAGCGATTAAGGGGGGACATGGCCTCGGAATTCAAAATTTTCAGAAAAAAATGTTTTTTTCAAAAATGATATGTTTATGTTTATTAACTTCCAAAGAATGGTTTCAGAAACTTTTATTTATAAACATGCTGGATTTATCTCAGAATAAATTATTTTCAACATGTTGGCAGCCCTCCGAATCAGCAGGGAGCAAGTTTTTTGTGTTTCTTATTTAGCGCTGCTTCATACTCGTTTAGCCTAGCCAGAACATTTCACCCTTACTGGAAGTGCCATTTACTCTAGATTTAGCCCATAGAAGCTTTCGAAGTTTACAAGTATCAATGGCCAGGAGGACCCAATACATCGAAACAGAAAAAATTCTGAAAATTTGGAACGAGCAATTTTATTGGCTGAGACCTGAAACAGGGTTTACGATTGGTCCTTCCCGGTGACATGATATTGTGTCGTCTTCAGTAACACCCCTTTACAGTATCTCCCATTTCAGATCCTATTCCTGCTTTGCTGCTCTTTCTCAGTGTGATTTGCCTCTTAGTTCTTGCCAGTTTATCTGTCAGGGAATGCCTGCTACAAAAGTTAGCAAGCCTACAAACAACACAAACTGGTAGCTATTGCCAGGGGAACAGGGAAGTCTCAAAGAGTAAGGTTCTAACAATGCGCCTGGTGAATTTCGCCTACCTCGGACCCACAGAAAAGAAAGAAACCTAAAGTTGAAACTTTAAATGCATTTTTCTCAGTTTCACTTTTTGGCAGGAAATGTGGTGTGAGGAAATGTATCATTGGACATTTTGAAAGTGTGAAGATTTCATTCAGTGCTGTCCTGGACTGTAATTTCCTGAGGAACAAGTTAAGGTACTCATAATTTGAAGAAGCTAAATTCTTCATGACCAAAACTGAATATTTTAAAACTCAAAAATTTGTTAAAATCGTTTGTTCTTTTTGGCTGTTATTGTTTTTATCTAAAATTGCATTTTCTACAATTAATTTTTACCTTAACTTGCACTATGGGTATCCTACTTCACATTAAACCAAACATTTTGTGGATTGCAATTATTATTTTTCTTAAATACATTTCCTAATAAAGTAACTTTTTTCTGGAGCTTGGTAAGCATAGTATGTTGTAGAGTTGGCCGATAAGACTGAAACTATGGATGTCATCACTCCTAATGGGGTTCAATTCACCCTGAAAGTTTGAATCAATTTGAGACATTGGTTCAAAAGTTGACCCTCCCAGGCCATGTCCCCCCTTAAACGCCCCGAACTCTCGTCGACGCATTTATTGTTACAAGCTCGAACCAAGCGCTTACACGGGACCCGTGTCGAATATACGAGCCGCATTTGAATATCGTCATCAGGGTACAATATCGTCATCCGGATACTCACTGTGAACACGTCGACACTGCAATACCTGTGGCTACTTCATTGGGGTTTGCAAAGGAGAGACTGAAAGAAAAAGTAAGTTTTTATTGTTGCGATTGTGCCGTGACATAATGCTGGTGCGAGCGAGTATATTTGGTCACACCAGTAAGCTTCAGTAAAGTGAGAGACATTCTATCGCCCCTTTAAAAAAGCAGGGCCACAATTTTCGGACTTAAGTTGAATAATTGCGGAAATTCACCCGTGTCACCCACAGACTGAAGAACAGAACATTTTTTCTTGAATGAGCAAGTTCTTATCTAAAAAAGAGTTTGAGTTAACCCTCGATTCTCGCACTGTCCTTTGAGTGACACATGGGTGTAATACGTCGGTTCCCCTTGGGTTCTGTCTTCTGGACCATCAGTGCTCCCTCTGCGATTGTCGACTTTACGAGGGCTTGGCATCGCCAAAGGTTGCGGTTTGCGATGGAGACAAAAGACGGTTTGAACGAGGAGGGTGGCAGCAGAGGGAGTGGTTTTGTCGGCCTCCGTTATATGGCATCACAAAAGCTTGAGGTAGACCTAAGCACTTTTTATGAGATGTGAATGCGGAAGCATGCAAGTCGCTCGTCCGCTCCCTTTGTCGTCTGCTCGTCTGCTCCCTTTGTCGTCTGCTCGTCCGCTCCCTTTGTCGTCTGCTGTGTACTTTTCGAGCGCAGCGGCCAATGGGAGCCCCGTTGACGCGTGCCAGCCAATGGAATCGAAGAATCGCGGAAACTAGGTGCCGTTTTCGCGCTTCAAACTGATGACATCAGCTCACTGCATGCAACCAGTTAATGCTTTCGCATTAAAAAGTTGTGACGCCATTTAAGCGAAAATAAAAGCTTTTGCTTGATAGTCTGCACCCGGTGTTTACTCCATACCCGGTGCATAGTCCGCACGCCATGCATAGTCGACACGAAAATCTTCTTATACATGGTACGCCCTGACAAATGTCTGCTTTATTAGCTCACAAAGAAGCTTGTATTGTACATACTGTAAACGACTTAATTTTCGCGAATCGGACCAAAGCTGAAAATTTTAAAATATTCGCAGGTTCTAATTTTTGCGAATCGAGTGTAGCTTTCGTAGCGTTAACATTTTGCCTGAATTGTTCGCGGGACATATTTTTTACGTTCGTAGGCGATTCGCAAAATTCGCAAAAATTGGGTCCTCGCAAAAATTTAGTCGTTTACAGTAAACCATCATTAACTCTTTAAGTGCCTTGGATGAGCTGAGCTCGTTGGCCGCTTTCTGGCTAAAAATGCTATGGACGAGCTCAGCTTGTCCACTGGTTTTTCCAGTGGCCCTCAATGCCATGGACGAGTTAGGATCATCCGAGTAGTTTGCGGCGCTGATCGTAGATGGCAGCACTCGTATTAGTTGGGGCATTTTTTTTCGCCGCCGCTGATTTTTGCGTAATAAATTTTTAAAATTTTATCTGTAATACTAGGAGAATAAAACTTCTAAATAAAAAACAATAAGGCACTTTTAGGCAGGGTTGGGCAGAAATACTCAGAAATGTATTTGGAAATACAAATACTGGGATACACTAAAATAGTAGCTAAAATACTGATACTAAAATACATCTGTAAAAACGTATCGTGATACATATCTGAAATACATTTTAAAAATAGGCAAAAAGTCTTTGGAAATACAAATACAGGAATACATTTCGGGAGGGCAGAAATACAAATACAGAAATACTAATAGTGCAATACATTTTTCAAATTTGTTTGAGACGCCAACTGAGATGAAGATTGAAGTTTGAAGTGGAAGTTTTTGCTCCTCCCGTAGGCTTTGCACATTGCCTTGAAGGTAGTGGTTTTGGACGACAAGGTTTCTTCAATGGGCTCAAAAAAAGGAAAAAAAAAAGAAACGTTTCATCAAGGACTGACTGCGGTCCCTTCCCTGACATCCAGTCTGTCTGACAAGGGATGTGAAAAGACTTCGATTACTAAATAAATTTTATGTCACCCTGAATCTCATCAAGACTTCACCGCGCCCGTTTCCAATAAGAACGCCCATGTCAACATTTATCACATGACGTCACGATGAAATTAACTGGTATTTTTCAACTGTAGGTTTGGTCTTGAACAAGAAAATTTACCACACTGCTGTATTAAAGAACAATTACATACTTTCGTTGTGGGTTACCTAAACGAAGATCGTGCAGGCAGTGCCATTTGGAATTTTTGGGAATAGAGGACCACCATTTTGGAACAGATGTAAACGATACGGTGGCATCCCCGTTCAGAAGGTCCTTCCTGCCGACCCTCCGCCACCGACGCATGGATTGCAGTCCGCAAGTTTCACCTAGCATCATTCAAACAGAGACTTCGTGGATTGCGACCTGATATTGCCGGCATAGGTGCGAGCTCTCCGAGAAACGGCGCGCTCGAGACGAGTCCTATGTGTACAAAGTCTTGGTCGGTATAGCTAGGTTACGTCTGACCCCCCTCCTGGATTTCGAATCACCAGAGCAGCGGGTCACGTACAGGTCGGCTGATGACGTTCATGAGCTGTGCAATATTACGGGCGCAGCCGCATACGCATTCGAATATGTGTTGAACTTTACTGAGTGAGTCATCCTACTATTTCAAGTCAACCACCACCAGGCTCGTGCTGCAACGGACTGTGACTCAGCTTTGCCGGCTGGGTGTGCTGTGTACGCTAAGGCAAGAGAGTCGGTTAGCAGCGGGCGTTAAATGTCAGCAAACAATGACTCGAGAGGTCCCTACCTAAGGACCTGCGGCAGAAGATATTCCGAATCTTCTCCTGGCTCGCCACCTGGTTCGAGTCCCCGACTACGCAACACTTCTCGGAAGAGAGAAGAGGACGCATAGAAAAATAGTTTGCAGAATCAAAAGGAACCTTGGTCCGCATAGTAACAATACCCCAGCAACTCCTTTACCCTGGTGCCTTCAGAAATAAAAAGAAAAAAAAAAGCGGTTGGGCTTGAATTTTTTTTTCCGGAGGGGGGGGGCGAGTATTTCTCAAAAAATGTAACGAAATACATTTCATCCCGAGTGTATCGCGATACAAAGAAACATTCCAAATGTATTTCGATACAGAAATACAGATACTGTCGAAAAAAATGTATCGCGATACAGAAATACAGATATAAAATGTATTTCTGAAATACTATCGCGATACATTTGTATCGCGATACTGCCCAACCCTGCTTTTAGGTTACTCTAAGAAAACAAAAATGACACTTAAGGGGTATCCACACGAAGGAGAAATCCGCCCCTTTCCTCCGCGGAGCGCGCATCACGTGAGACGTACGTCATCCCTTTCTGACGCCTCGCGGCGTGTTCTCCTCCGTGGCGGAGGCGCGGAGGCTTCCTGCTGTCAGCACGAAAGGTCTGCAGGTGCACGCGGCGGAGCCGGGGACGGAGTTTCCCGGGTTGTTGACGTCACGACATCCGTCCGCGGAGTTCTCCTTCGTGTGGATACCCCTTTAAAGGGTTAACATACTCTTTATTCACAAAACATGTCACGTCTTGTCCTAATAAACAGTCTTGAAAAACACAATTCCTCTATAGTCTGCACACGTAGATAATCCGCACAGCCTAAAATTTCAACTTTTAAACATGTATAGTCCGTGGACTATAGCCCAGAAAATATGGTTTCCCATGACGTGGCACTGTGGTTCCGACAACCGCCACACAAAAGAATGTGACTTTTCTTTCAAGATTGCACGGCGAAATCGCCATAGTTTGGGGGAAGGTGGCGCATGTTTTCTCACTTGTGCCGAGACAAACAATATGGAAAATAGAAGCAGCGAATTCTTGCAACGTTGGAATCGTCGCACTGTCCTTTGATGTGCGAGTGTCGTTTTTGATGCGTTTTAAGACGACTTCTGTCTCGTGTGCAGCAGGCGAGACAGACTTTGTGCCTCCCGCCGAAGCCAAGCTGTCCGAGGAGGAGGAGGAGGTTGACCCCGAGATGGTGGTGATGAGGCAGGAGGAGACCGAGCTGCTGCTGCACCAGGAGGAGCTGCTGTCCCTGGGGGACGAGCTGAGGCGCAAGATCGCTGCAGAACGGGCCGAGATTGAGCGACTCAGGAGCGAGATCGTCGAGTACCAGAAGCTGGCCAAGTGAGATCTTGCCACAGTGCTCTCCTCCTCTCTGTGGCGAACGGGGCAGGAGCTGGAGTGTGGGGTTGTTTCCCGTCGACCTTAAAGGTCGACGGAAAACAACCCCACATTCCACACTCAATAGAAAAACATTGTTTTTGTGTGCCAGTATGGGACACGTATGCGATGAAGTGAACTTCCCCCGAGAAAAAAGGATTCAGAAACATCTTTCAATTTCGGCGTCGACACCTCACAATAGGAGCATGTTTCGCAATGGGTCTTGCGTAAAAAAATTTTTGCACTGATAATGTCTTTATTAGATTTTCTGTCCAGGCACTTGAAGCAGTTCCTTTAAAGAAACGATTGGGGATATTTTACTTGACCATCTTGTTTCTTGTACACTCTACCTCTGGATGAGTGATAATTTCTTGTTGGGAGGCAAGACATTCGGTTCATGTTGCCGTGTAAAGTTTTGTTGTGTGTTTTCCTTGCCTCCCATTTCAAGATCACATTCCAATAAAGGAAGAGCCAGACAATATTTCAGGACGACCGAGTGAAATTTATGCTTTGCATGATGTCTCCACCCTAACTTGTGCAAAAAGAAAATTTGTTGAAAGGTCTTAAGTATTGATTTTTGTCAGACATGGAAATTTTCTGAATCCGTTATTTAGTATGTAGTAATAATCTAGTCTTGTGCGAATATTTGAATTTTCAAATAGTAGTTTCTAATAATATGCTAATCAATACACTCGCTTCGAGGAGAATTAGCTTCGAGGTGCACATACCATTTGGCTCGCGGGACCTGCGGGGATGGCTTCCCTGCAGTGCACTGGTGCTCGGTGAAAAGTGCATGCAACGAAGGGAAACTCGTTTCACAATTTTATAAATCTTGCCTCAAATTAAACAAAAAAATAATTTGACCCGCAAAAAAAAAAAAAAAAAATGTTTTTTTTGGTGGTACCTTGCGCTGCCACAAGAGGGCGGGAGGCACCGTTTGTGGAGACGTTGTACTAGCTGTCTATTGGATGACTACAGATTCATCTCCAAATTCAAACCTGTTGCCCTGCCTAGTACAGTCCAGCCGCGTAGTCGTGGATTTGTTGAAACTTCCTTTGTGACAAGTTGCCGCACTTGACGTAGTTCGACACCCATGCTTGTTGGACGTCTATCGCCTGGTCTCGGAGGCTTTGCAGCGCAACGGCGTGCTCGAAGCCTCGAAAGAAGTACTTTGAAATGTTTTAGGGGCGAAGCTCCTTAGGGTCTGGCCTTGTCCGTCCGGCGTCCGTGCTCACATCGATCTTACTGGTGCTCCAGTTCATGAGCTCACGTGCTCACGTGCTCGTGTAGGAAAAAAAAAAAATTATGAAAAGAAAAAACAAAAAAGAAATGTTTGTGCAGTCGACAGGATTTGAACCTGTGCAGGGAGACCTCAATGGATTTCTAGTCCATCGCCTCAACACTCGGCCTCCCCTACTCAAGAGCTGAGGATGCCATGGATGAAACGTTGCATGTAGCTGCTCAACGTCTATACAGGAGAAGGCGCTGCGGTCAAATGCGTATATAATCGCGTTAAACTTTGCATGCATTGGCTCAACGTTTACAGACAGGAGGGCGCTGCGGTCAAGTGCTCAAATGCGTACATAACCACGTTCCATACCACACATTCTCTTTCTGACATGGATGAAAACGAACAAAAGGCTCGGCATGCTGCGGCTCAGCGTCTACGCAGACAAGCACCACCAGAGCTTCGCCCCAATAGACATCATTCACCACGTGGAGATGCGGTCATTTTAGAGTCGAAGACTTCGGAATTACCGTGCTTCGTGTCATCCAAGAAAGAGAAGTTTGGATTTTGCACCACGTGTACGGGACATGCAAACATTTCACACAGTGGAGAAGCTGATGTTAAGGTGCACAATGTTTCGCACAAACATGGGGGCTATATGCGGGCCGCGAGTACCCAGCTGATTATGGTAAGTTTTCATTCTAAAAAAAGCTTACCAGGTCCTTCCCACCCCTCCCGCCGCGGGAGTTTTACAAAATTGGAAGTCGACAGGTTGGCAGGCATGAAGAGTATATATCGGACAGCAATGTCTCGACAACCCGCATTCATCGTTCAACTTTTTTTTTTTTTTTTTTTCACATTTGAAATAGTAGAAAAAATATTTGCATATAGTGAGCAGATTTAGGTATAAAAACCCTCGATGGGATGGCTGCAACATATTTGTTGTTTACACGCCACAGTCGATATAGTATAGTCATATTAAAACTAATCGAGCTTAGAAATGGACAAATGGAAGGTTGGGAATGACCTTCACGAGTTCGGCTGAATTTTCGTTTAAGCACGGCGGACTTCAAGAATCCATTTGATATTTGATTTGGAATTATTCGACCAAAACCACTAGGATTCGCTTCAAACTCGAAATCCACCATTCACGTGGGGGCGTAATAATCGCCGATTTAAGCGAGTGAACAAACCTTGGTCCCATTACGGTGCCCAGAACATGTCTCCAACAACCGTGCTCACCGCGTCCGAAAAAGCGGTCCTTCGATCTCCGCTTGATGACGTCGTAGAAACTAAGCCTACCGGTCAAAGATGCACTCCAGCCAACCTAATCTTATGTGGAGCACAAGTCGGTCCGCATCTTGCGCAGGGGTTGCTCTGAATGGCTCCGACGGAGGCACGTGTGTAGACCTCGATGCTAGCTGCCTAGCTGCCTCGAGGTGTGCCCACTGTCCTTTCAGTCGGAGCCAGTCGGAGCTCGAGAAGCGGACAGACTTGCGCTCCGCATTGGCTTTGTTTCTTTAGCGTTTCGGCAATTGTACTTTTGTTGTAGCTCTGTAAGAATGCTATGTGGCTAGTTTTCTTTTTCGGTAAATGCAGCACGACCTCCAGTCTAAAAATCGCTCGTGTCTCACTTTGCTTCGTTTGTTTCCAGGTACAAGCAATACTCCGTGGAGTCGGCCGAATGCAGCAGCTCTGGGACCGAGGGAAGCGAGAGCGTATCCTTGATTCGATGCCGTCTTTATTTTAGCCTAGTCCAATTGTAATGGACAAATGTTAAAAAGAAAAACTATCTGCGCAGATGCCGTAACACCCTTTTTCGTGCCTCGCGTCGTAATGCTCTGTGCATTTATGTGTCGCCCAGGTCGTTCGTTAATGGGAGCGTTCCCAAACATTTGAAGATTGAGGAATCTTCATCTCGGAAGTGTTGGGCCAGTTGGCACCCATTCACAATGAAAAACGGAGCGCACAAGAGATGCGGACGCAGGAAAGACGAGTGCAATGGACAAGCACTCGTCCATCGAGCTCGTCTGTCTCGTGTCCGCGTTCTTCGTGCGCTCCGTATCTTCGTTACAAACCCGTATCTCCTTCGACCAGCAGCTGAGGATCCCCTCCTGGCATTGATGAGATAATGCGGTGCAAAACCCCACTGAGATAGTAAACGATAATGCAAATTAATAGGGAATGTGTGGCCCATAGTTACGCACCAGTGGGTGGCTCAGGTCTGCTAAAACCGTTTTAAGGGGGGGAAATAAACCTAATTTTTGGATTGTTTTCAAAAAATTTGTTTCAAATTTGAGGTTTTCAGTTTGAAAAACTACTTACACATCCTTATACTAAATTTTATAACCATGTGCCAAATAGTTAAGTTAATATAAACTATTTTCAACACATTGTGAGGCAGTAGTGGAGTTCAGTGTTTGAATGCATTTTTCTCAGTTTCACTTTTTGCTGCAAATTTCATACGAACAAATGTTTTGTTTGAAGGTAAAAGTATCCCGATACCACAATCAAGATGTTTCTGAACTGAAATTGACTGGGGAATTGGGCTATCTACTTTATTTTGCTTTTAGCAAGAATGCTCATTGAGAAAAAACTATGTTTTCAAAAAATGACGTAGGACAAATATGCATCTCATATTTTGAGGTACTAACTCTTCCTGAAATATTTACATTTGAGTTATAAAAACTAGATAGCCCAAAGTCCCACATCCCCTGCTCTATATGCGAGCAGTCAAGATGGTGCTTAATAGCTTTATTTGCATATCATGGATTTCTTAACGAAGAGTGACGCACCTTCTTATGCAGGTTTATTGAACTGTTCTAGAAACCTGAAAGTTTGCACTATACACATATATGTGATGTCAAATCTCCCCTGCAAATTTCATTCCGATCACATGAGTAGTTCAGAAGTTCAGTCTCTAGCCTTAAACTGGAAATACGCTTCGGGGCAGGGACAGTCGAGGAAAGCTGGGAGATCGAGGAATTCTAGTCATAACCCATGGATGCTCCAGGTGCCGAACGGTTCTGCCTAGAGTGCAAACATACCTCGTATTTCTCCTGTACACGCTTCAAATGTTGCGTTTTTACTCCTTCATCGTTCCTTACCGCCGACGTTCAGGAGGGTGAAGACGAGCTAAAGCAGATCCTCTCTCAGCTGATGGACGACAACAAGCAACTCTCTGTAAGTGTTGGGAAGGGAGCCATTATATGTGCGGAAAGGTAATTTACTGGAACAGAAAAAAGAAAAATTTATTGCCAATAATTTTTTCATTTTGACAAGGTTTCTATAATGGAAGTTTGTGGCTCTCTCGAGCTAGGGCTGTACGTTTTCTTACACACAACGAGTCTTCGCACTCGTAATATTGCGAGTGCCAGCTCTTTTGGACCGAACGTCCACAAGTTTAATCTGAGTGTACACTTATTTAATCCAATTTGTAACCGAAATAATTGGTTGCAGTCCAAGTAAGTACACTTATTTAATCCAAGTTGTAATCGAAATAATTAGGGTGGGGGAATTTCAATCTAAGTTCCCCAAATTAATTCCAGTGTCATCCATTTCTATTCAAGTTGCTCGTTTTAAATTTGTCCAACTGCCACGAATTAAACACCGACGGCTGCTCAGCGATGGAACACTAAAAACTAAACGATTGTTTTTTTTTTGCCAGTTTCTGTAGAGTGATGAATTCCATAAAATATGGTGTGGCCTTCATCTCAAACATCTCTTACTGTGAAAAGTTGTTTTTGACATTCAGGTCAGGCGCCAAATGATCAAGCCTCTAGAGCAGGGGTTCTCAAATGGAGGTCTGCGGACCCTTTGGGGTCCCCAAAGGCCTTCTCAGGGCCCTTGAAGTCCTCAATATTAGTCAAACTTTTTTTTTTTTTTTTTTTTTTTGTGCGAAAGTTTTATTTGTTTTATTACGCAAAAAAACGGCAGCGTTGTGCCCAAAAGAAATGCATGTGCCTCAGAAATAAAAAAAAAGCACAGCAACGCAGATGCCTTGTCGCGGAAGCCGGCATGGCGCTCAAGGTCAAAGCGGATGCCTCAGAAATAAAACGCAAAGAAAAGCGCAGCAACGCTAATGCTGCGTCACGGAAGCCGGCGGGGTTTGTCACACCTGCGCAGTGGGGGAGCGTGACGTCACCGTTAGAGCGCTTTGTGAAAAAGGAAGACATGATGCGCTGCTTGTAGAGATGCCTTTTGCATTCCTACATGCGAAGGCATCTAGGAGGGCAACTACTTGTGTAGGAATGCAGAGGCATTCCTACACGTAAGTAGTCTGAAGTGCCTCTGCCAAATGTTTTTCAATTGATGCTTTCTGTCCCGCAAAAGTAAATAGACCTACCCACATGTGCAGAAAAAGGAGGGTTGTTTATTTTTTTGTTTCAAAGTTTCAAAGTTTGTTTTCATGCATTTAGTTTTCTTTCAATTTACCTTTTCGTCATTGTGATTGTTTAGCACCCCTTCACTTCCGTCGATCCGTAAGGGATCCTCAAAACATCAGTGGTTGAGAACCGCTGCTCTAGAGAACTGGTCGAAAATCGTTACAGACCCCATAGTAGAAATTTGCTCGGACGCTCGTTCACCGGCAGACCAGCGGCATTAATACCGAACGTGGTACTCTTTTCGATCACGTGGTCGTTGCTTGATTTCCTTGTTGCGAATTTTTGCGTGTTCCTTTTCATGTCAAATGCCGTAAACGATTGGTCACCCCTTGGTTGTCATACTGTCGCACTGCGTACAAACTCAGAATAGAGCTTACAAACATGTTTAATAAATCGCTATAGTTTCGGACTTTCGGCAGCCGTAATATATATAATAATAATAAAGACATGGCACAGAACTGCTCTATGTTCATGCTGCTCCAAAATGTTTAGCTTTCCTGATACCAAGGTGCTCCAAAACGAGCTTGTCCCTGCTCCAAAAGGGGAGTTTATGTGATATGAATTGCTCCAAAATTGGGTTTTGCTTGCTCCAAAAATTGCTCCAAAACCTAAAATGGCTGGACCACCACTGGGCATAACCCCCTTACCCTAATATGAGCATATACGTACAGGGCATTTCACCAACGTCCGAAAAGAATTTCACGGAAAGGTGTCAGGCTGGCCAAGACAAGTATAATGCAAGAGTGCATGCGCAACTCAGAAGCGAATAATCTTGCCGGACTTGCAGTGCTTACTTTCAGGACGAGCCTCGTATATTGCGAGTTAGATGCAGGCAGTCTTCAGGTTTAGGTTGGACAAGACAGTCACTAATCTGCGCAGAGCTTAAAAAAAAAAACAGGTTCGACTGCAAAACTTTTATGGGATAGAACAGGTTTCAGCGATAATGGTCGTTTCAAGATTGCCCCCAGATAATAAAAAACAGCAGATGCTTCACTTCTCCGGAAAATTCGCAGAGCCGTGCCCAGCACGACTAGGTTTCGGGGAGCGTTCCTGGCAGATTTGGGTTCTTTTTTTTAATCCGACTGGCACTACTAAACTTCCCGTTTCTCCTAATTCTTGTCTTCCGTTGCCCTTACTCCGCGATTGATTTGGTGCAGCAACAAGCGGCGGAGCTGAGTCAGAAGATCCTCAAGGAGCGGGAGGCGTGCGTCGACATAAAGGTGAAGATGCGCCTGCTGCAGAACGAAGCAAAGATGCTGAAAATCTGATTGACGCCGCAGCCGCCGGGAACAGGCGTCCCGTCAAAGCATTTGTACTGCCAAATCTCTCCGAAAATTCATTCCACTCACGTTTTTCTCGTCAAGTCTCTCTCATTTTGTTTTCTCACTGTAGGTGGCAGTGTGTGGTATCTTGCAAAAGCTACTTGTTTGTTGCGGAGCTTTCAAGGAGCCAGTTCATTTGATGACTTGTCGAGATTAGTTTGTGCGATGAAGTAGGTTGTGACTTTTTTCTTTTTCTTCCGGCCTAGTTTTTTTAGTGCAACTTATCGACACAACGTGCTGTGTATTTATTTTAGGTGACGATGCTGCGTTATGAACCTAATAAACTGCAGTTGCATTTGTTGGTGCAAAAAAATTGCCTACTTGTTTTCTTTTTTTTTACCATGGGAAAATTCATAAGGAATAGTAGAATACCACAGCTTGCCAACTTTACTGGCTTCACTTGAGGTAGTGGTCTTATTGCAGCTCTTTGGCACACATAAAGTATAAGGGCACAGAATCATCTGCAGGAGCTGGGGAAGAACCTGCCGAAATTGAGGTATTGCTGAGCAGCTCAGTATACACCCTGCCAAATTAGTTTAAACAGCGAAGTAGCTATACTTCATTACACCTTGGGTCCGAGCGCAGCCGATGTCATGAGCCGAAGGGCCAATCAAAAAGCGCAATGTCATGGCGCATCCTCTCCGCACTTGATAGGACTAGCCGCTGGAGGAGCACGCACAGAGAGGGGGCGAATACCGGCTGGTCCTATCAACTACACAGAGCACACCATGACGTCATACCTTTTTCGCTGTTTGATTGGCCCTTCGGCTCATAACATCGGCCGCGCTCGGATCGAAGCTGAAACAAAGTATAGGTGGAAACTGATGTTTCTCTTGCCTGTCGGGGGTTGTGTGCGCTGTTTAAACTGCTGCAGTAGGAAGTTATCAGTACAATTGCTATACTAGGCTTTATTATCCTGAATGCATCTGAACGATTTAATGGGCAGTAGGGCAAGCTCTTTCATATTACCAATACAACATGTTTCAGCATAACTTGGAGCTGATGTCACGGCTTCCACGAGCCGCTCGGAGACTGATCAAAGCACGTGGCAATAGAACCTTTCCGGAATTCAGACTGGCAACTTTGATCACTATCATCATCTGAAAAATGGCATATGTGCTGTACTAATGGCGGCCATCTGTTTACTGATGAAAGAAGTTGAAGATGCTCCTAAGCCGATGATTCTATGCCTATACATTCTAGATGTTAGCGCGGCGTGAAGCAGGAATCGGACGCAAGAGCTGCGTAAGCGTTCATTTCTAACTCGGGCCCAGTCAATCTGTTAATAGCCCACACTTGGCTTCAAAGCCCCTTCATGTATAGAACTTTATGAAGGCGTCTATGTGGGCTGGCGCTTCGTTCTGACTGGTTGCAACTTTTTAGCCATCGACACTGAAGAGATGTAAAAAGAACTGGTCAGTGACGCGCCCATTCTCATTCACAGTTGACTTGCGGAGGTGACGGTGCCCCATACAGTACTACAGACCACAGGTTCATCGCCGCCATTAGTACGGTAAAAGTCAAACTGCCATTTGAATCACCAGATGGCCCTGAATTCCGGAAAGGGTCTATTGTCTGTTGGAGTACACTCCGACGAAGCGGAACCTAAAAGGATTTGGCATATTTGCATAACTTAGCATAGACATTTCTTTCAAAATTAGTGGTGATACAGTGCACGGTACAATATATTTTAATTAATGGTGTGCTACAATGCCTGAAGAGCCACTTTCAACCTGGTGATAATTAATCATAATTTAACACCTCCGACTATGGTGCACAGAAATTAAGAAACTTTCTCAAGTCAAAGAAAAATATCGCAGAGGAAAACGTCTCGAAACATTGAGACATTCTCCTTTACTGTCTTTTTCTTAGACTTAAGAAACTTCTACTTTTCCTTCATTTATCACCACCTGTTAGGGGTTACATTACGATTGTCCTCTCTCGATACTTTTAACCACCTCGCTTGCACTGACCGAGCAAGAAGCAGCAAATGTTTGCAAAGCTATGGGAAGCCGCCCCCAAAACAAACGGAGGGATGCCTCGTCTGCTCGCGTTTCTGGTGAGAGTAGAATATTCCTCCCAGTATTTCATCCGAGTTGACAAAGCATCATTTTGTGATACAAATTTAACAAGACCAAATTTGGGGAATGTACCTTGGAGTCGGGAGTTTTATATTTCCTCAACAAGTAAAAAAAGATATCTTTGGATAAAGTACAAATACATGCTCGGAGGATGTACTTGAAGTACATCCTCTGAACATGTATTTGTACTTTTTTTACTTGTTGAGGAAATATAAAACTCCCGACTCCAAGGTACATTCCCCAAATTTGGTCTTGTTAAATTTGTATCACAAAATGATGCTTTGTCAACTCGGATGAAATACTGGGAGTATTTTTTCTAAACCTACTTGAAGTAATATTTTAAGTCACAATGGACTTAAAGTACTTCCAAACACTGCTTATGTCTTCGTAATAATGGGTGGATTTAATAGCTTTTGATAATGCCCACTATTTTCCTAATTGAAGTAATACCTTAAAATGTATTAATAGAAAGTTAATTAGGAAAGGATTAACCTAATTATATCAAACGCTGCGCTCTTTTAAATTTGCCCTTTGGCAGGGATCAATACTGCATCAACCTTTTTTCTGCGCGATACATACTTTTTGCAAGAACGATTTGGCGTGCTTTCCGTGAAAAACCCTTTACACATATACCTTTGGTATATAGCCGTGTGCTTCTCCTAATGACATGCCTTTCATATAGTATACATTTTACATATAGTACAAATATGACCCAAACTATTGTATGAACTAACATGGGAACACCTAAGAAAACGCTTGAACCAGAGAATACCGGTGGAGTGCCCACCCACTTTTACTGATACATGGGTTAATGTAGACATGGGCACTTTTCTGGTCAAATTGGGCACTTGACATACAATTTGCAGAATTCCCAAGTTTGTAAAATGTTCATAGTGGGCGCTGGAACGAAGTGGGCACTTCCACGCCATTTTACAGTAGTTATCAACTTTCATCTGTATTTCATTGTATGGCATGCATCGATACTTAGAAACAGTAAGCTGGTTTGTTTGCTGTCGCAGAATGTTGAACACCAGGATACTGACTTTCCCCATACTACTTCCCTAGCCTTGTTATTGCGGTGACAGACCTTCCTCGTATGCGGGCTGCGCAAACAGTTCTCAACTGTATTCAGCAAATGCAATGATGTCGTTCGAGAATTCTTTGTAAGCAAAAGGCCCAAGAATGGTGTGTGTGTGTGTGTGTGTGTGTGTGTGTGTGTGTGTGTGTGTGTGTGTGTGTGTGTGTGTGTGTGTGTGTGTGTGTGTGTGTGTGTGTGTGTGTGTGTGTGTGTGTGTGTGTGTGTGTGGGGGGGGGGGGGGGTCTTGGGAGGAAACGCAAGATATCACAAATATAAAGCTAAAGATAACTAGAAACAAGTTTATAGAGCAGTCCATATAAATCTTACCGCAATATACAAGTATCCAACTACCTAGAGTTGGCACAAAAAATCAGAATACTGCGTATTGCAATCCATCATATATACCAGCCGCAGTTTTATTCAAAATTTTTCACAAAATAAAATTGTTAAGGCAACACTTATTTTTTTTTTCTTTTTTTTTACATATTGTTTTGTGCAAAAAACTCCTCTGGAGGAATGCTTTCCCCTTGGCTGTGGTTGCGTTGCAGTGAAAAAACCAGAAAATTGCGATGCCTACCCCGCGGTTCTTGCTTCACTGCAGTGCACCACTGCGCAGCGAGAAGCGCACTAAACGAAGCTACCCAACCTACTAGAACGGACCACAAACATAAAAAATATTGTGCAACTTCCGTGTGCTGCCAATGTTTTATACAGACATCAAATCGACTTGCACATTGTTTTAGGCAATAATTGAAAGTTCTGAAAATTTGAACAAAGCCTTAGCTATTACATTTTCAGCATTAATAAACTGAAATTACGTTCCGGAGTAATGTTGGCACTAGTTCATCACATTTGTGCAAAATAGGGTAAGCACTTTGATGCAGCTTAGCGCTGCTATCACATCACTGCACGAGGCGAGGGGGAAACATTGAGTCGGTGCTTTGGAGCAAGTGGGGAGATGTCGACAAGAGAATGGAACTTTGCATTCCACTCGTGTTGGAGTGTTGGCTTTGGCAGGCAAATTCTGAAGGGTCATTGTCGGTAGACACCGAAAATACGGAACCCTATTCGTAAGACAACTGAAATAGGCACAACACAGTGAAGCTGTTTCAACATTTATTGTGACCACCATGAATGCATACACAGAACACATTAATTATACTGAAGGGAATACAAGATGTTTCTCTTGGGAGTACTTAGCTCACTGTTGCCATTCTAGTGAAGTTTGTAACGATATGAATACACAGAATTATTCAGGTATGAAGTGTAACTACCACTAAAGCATCCAAAGAAGTACTGACACAAAGTATTTTTCTAAAGAGCCAGATACAGATAGCCTAGATCAGAAGTGCATACATTTATGAAAACAATGTTTATGAAAGTTATTTCTAGAAAATTGTTCATAAATCTTTAGGGGCCATTTCTTTTTTTGCCAGGTTAGGTTGATGAACACTGACAAAAACTTGCAAAGAATATAGGTAATTAGGACAACATTATGGAATAGGCTATGTGGAGCAGGTAATTACTAATGCTTTCACCAGAAAAATGAAGATTTATAAGTTCAATGTGCAACCCAGCAAAAAAAAATCTGTATGCATGTTATGACCAGAGAAAATTCGCAACATTCAGCGATGTTGACACCGTGGTGCGACTCGCACGCCCCAGCTCCTAAATGATTGGCTTCAAAATAAAGGTGCTCGCTTACACCTTCCCGACGCGGAAGTATGACGCAAGGCTCTAGTACCGCTCGTATTTCACAAAATTATGATTAGTTGCGCGTCACAGACCAAACCTTGTTCATTCAGCCGTTCTGCGATGATCATCCAGATGACAGCCATTTAGATAGAAAGTAGAGGGGCCCCTCTAGGTCGTGAAAGTTGCGAATGCGCCATTTGCAAAAATCCTAAAGGCCGTGCGCACCAAACCTTGCCCCCATGGCGTCTACCACGAGATGCTAAAGAGAGAGAAGGACTGTGCAGTTGTAACATCTCCTAGGCATCGTTGCATTGAATTTTCAGCATCACCCACAAGAGACCAATGCGGAGCACGTAGGCCTCTTGTGGGAACGGCGATGGTTCAGCATATTCTCATCATCTCGGGGTCACCTCCGTACAGCCGGTTCTGTAGAGGCCGTTCCCGGCATTCCTTTCGGGCCAAATTTCCTCCCATCCCTGTCCCCAAGTGGTCTATTTTAAGAGTGTCCGAGTCATTCGCTGAGGCCCAATTATGTAGCGAACGTTCCCTAGCAAGTATATTATTCTTTACAAGGTCTGTGGGCTTCTGCTGTGCTTCACTGCGTCAACGTTGAAATCGAGAGGGCTTCCTTTGTTATCAATTACAAGACGGACATTCCTCGAGCTTGAAAAGTTTGAGAACTCAGCTAAACAATGCGTAGCGCAAGTTCGTCTGCTTCTTCTGCGGGGGTGGCGGTGACGTCAGAATGCTGAGCTCCGATTGGCTCCGACTGAAGGATAGTGGGTAGACATCAAGGCAGCTAGCATTGAGGTCTGCCCACTATGCTTCAATTGGAGCCAATCAGAGCTCGGCGTTCTGAGGAAGAAGCAGACAAACTTGCGCTCCGTATAGGTAGCAGCGTGGAGGCATGCAAGAAACAGAGCTTGCATCCAGCACGAACGCTCCAAGACTCCCATTTCTCGCAGCCCCAACAAAAAGAGTACACGCTTCTACTCGGCAAAATCAAGTGTGAAAATGTACCGAGAATGCTCGAACTGCCAATCGGCATAAACAGTGATGAGGGTACATAAGTATTTAAAACCGGCATGAGAAACTTTGGAATCTCGTGTCAGTATTCCTTTAAACATGACCCTTGAAAGTAGAATATGGAAAGATTGGACCTGCTCATTTAGCTTAGCGTACAGATGCATCTCTGCAAAGAAATGGCGATGAAGGAGCGCATGGCAGAAGATACTTTGATGATGTGCTACATACCTGAAGATCCACTTGTGGAATTGTACTTAATACAAGGTATAGGTAGCATCACCAGTGACCTCTATGAAGTGTGTACCAAAAAGAGTAAAAGCCTTCAACATTTACAACACACAAAGGTTTCCTTTCAACTGTGGAGTATAGACCATTTAATGCGAGTAATACAACAGATGCGGCATCTATGTAAGTGATGACACTGACGTCTTACATAAATTGAAGCACATTGACACCTTACATATATTGAACACACTAAGTATGTAAACTAACCAATGCAGTAGTAAAAGCTGGAATGCTTAATGCAAAAGCTCTTAAAACTAGTGGAAGAGCCGGACCATGAAAAGTTTTTATACCATACTACAAAGCAAAAAGTGAATCTGCTGCAGTGGTGCCTTACTGAGATAAAAGGTTCATATTGATGCTTATGCCCTGTTTGGTCATCAAATCAAATAAGAACAACTTCTAGCAGTGAAGGCAGGCTCTTCCATGCCCTAGAGTGCACACAAGAGCCTGCAACATTTTCACTGGAAATGTCAAAAAAGCCTAATAGTTGAACCTTTATTTGACTAATGCAAGCTCACCACAAGTTCGTAACACAACTAATAAAGGTAGGGGTATTTAAAACAGAAGAAAATTCAAAGACGTACCACTCGCTTCAGAAACCGTTAAGATTTCTGTCGCTAGGAAACACTTCCCTGCCAACTTGCGCCACAGGCACATACAACATATAGACCAAAGTACCAAACTTGGCATGCCCTTTTGACGCCAAAATGTGCTTACGATTTTACCAAAAATATATGCTAAAATGCAAAGAAACAATTGTATATGAACTTGGCAGCTTTTTTTTATGGAAACAAGTCCCAAAACTATGGGTAAGCCATGCTTGGCAGACAAATAATACCATCTACCATAAAATCCTGAGCAGTCAAAATTTGGATGCAGGGATACATCCTTCGTGTATTTTTAAATGGTACAACACTGAGGAGTGGGAGCGTATTGAAGCATGGGCGGATGCTCGGTATTTTACAATAGAATGGTACTCCTCTTTTGGCTTTCAATAGGTACTTGGGCAACATTTTTTGGCAGCAAAGCAAAGATTGTGGACACAACATGTTAAGGTCCAATGGATCTACAGAGCCTCTATTAGAATGTAAACCAGTTCAGCAGACAGGGTGTGGTTTTATGCACTTTGCATGCATGTGGTTGCAATTTACTATTTTCATTTAGATAAAATATTAGTACTAGTACAAATTAGATTAATTTTAAACTCAAAGGAATGATAGGAAAGAAAGCTCCCGACAGTGGGCGGCCAGGTGATCCAACTTCCTCATATGCGAGTTTGTGTTTGGGCTAATAATAATAATAATAATAATAATAATAATAATAATAATAATAATAATAATAATAATAATAATAATTATTATTTCAAACATTTCTATTGTACATTATCTGGACCTGGTTGCTTCACACAGATGTCACCAGGACTTCCATGTGAAGCAACGGGATCCAAAGTTAGCTACAGAATTTTACTTGTTTTCTGTTTTTTATGTATAAAAATATACATTTTAAAAACCCAATCAAGCAACAATGGTGGTTGGCATTTCTTGGGAGCGAAGCATGCAATCTTATCAGAGTCCTTGCAGAACACTGATGCAGCACTAGTTTTCAATGAGATTGAGCTGAGCTTATGCTGAGTGCTGTTGCAGCCTTCGTGCTTAACACATGCTCAGAGTACATGGCCAAACAATGGCGGACTCAAATGATAGGTGCAGCAGCAGCTACCAGATGGCGCACGCTTTTGAAAAGGGGTCTACTATGAGCACGCTATGTTTACCTCTTGGCAAGCATGACTGAGTAAATTATCTCTCGCCGAGAAATTCCTGTTTTGCAAGGGCTGTGACCATCACTTTGAAACCAACGGATACATACAAGTTAAGACAGAAAAACAAACTTTAGCTACATGGCAGACATTCTTTGCACAAAAACAAATGTGTGTACATAAAAACCGATACTAATTTTATGCTTAGTGAATGTGAGTGACTTATCGAGAGCACTAAATAGATAAATTTAAAAACAACTTCATGGTCCCTTTGAAAGCAACTAGTGTTGGCCACAAGTGAACACTGGACAGTGATTCATTTTTAAATGCTATGTAACATTCTCACTTACTCTTCGATACTGGACGCAAACATTAGACGCCAGCACAGTCGGCCACCATCAATCTAAACAGTGCGACTTGCTATTAAAACATTTTAAATTCCTGGGATGGTATCACACGTTCCAGCACATTTTGCAACTTATTCTGGGAAAAGAGTAGAAGAGTTCTTTTCTCAAACTCTCCTGACCTTGTGTGTTTAAAGGGTGTGAGGTAGTAATGTCACTGCCTCTGCACCGCTGCCAAAAAGAGTTTGCCCGGGAGCATACAAAGCCTCAGCGGAACTGTGAGGAATGTTACCGCCCATTCAATCAACTTCCTCCCAAGTGACAAATAAGGCTCTACAACACTCTCATATAACATTACAATCTGTCCACACAGCAGTGTGCTAAAAGTTTCAAGCTCCCTCCCAATTTTGGGCCTGCATTGGCAATGCAAGCATCTGGCAAAACTGAAAAACTGAAGGCTATTGATTGCAGTCCATGCTACAGACTGTCAGCCAATCGGTGAACAACCACGGCATCCACTCATTGTTGAATGCCATAGTCATTAACCAATGTTGAATGCCATAGTCATTAACCAAGGTCATTAACCTATTGGTGAATGACTAAGGCATTCACCAATAGGAAAAGGCGAATTATATATTTAAAAAAAAAAAAAAAAACAGGGCTGTCAGGATTACATTTAGAAAAAAAAAGAGCCTACCATTTGTTCTTGCTGAATTGGTCAAAGGTAGCAGAGGCTAACACATCATGAATGATCCCCGATTTCATTTCACTTTTTTACAGCGATCCTACTGCAAGAAGATCTTTTACCGGCGGCCAGCACTAACAAGCCTCAGAATGAAAAGAAACAACTGCACAACGTCCATGTACAGCTGGAGCGCAGCAAAGATGTGTTCTTCGGGGCTCAGTTCGAGTTTGCGTCCACCCATGATCATCTGTGTGTCGAAAGCCAGGAACTGGGAAAAAAGTTTACACCAAATGCTTATTCTAGTCATCACAAGGACATTCAAACAAAGAAAGAGCTGGTATCACTACAAAAAGTATGGCAGGCACTTCCCAGACAGCTTTCCAAAGCCACACTTTCTTTCTGTTCCTCTTTTCCACTTTCTTAACAAAGGCATGCACAGAATGGTCTGAAAAAGAGCCAACCCGGTACCCACTGCTACCACTTGCCGATTATTACCACTACTCATTTCCAGTTCCTGGCCCAGCCTGGCACCTGTTCCCATGGGCCCGCCTAGGACTACCACACTTCCTTTTATATACAGCTCAGCTTCTCATTCAGATTATTTCCAGTTAGGCAAGCTCTTCTGCCCCCGCTATCTTTGCGTACCATAATGATACTTCCACAAAATTTATTATTACGAAAACTTTTTTTTTTCTAAAATATATTAACAATTTCTTTCTGCCCGCCCTTGTCCCTCGACATTTGGGGCGTTAAGCTATCTGGCCCCAACACTCAAACTAGTTTAAGACCCCGGGAATAGAAGTAAACACTCTGTGGTAAGGACAAGAAACTCACAGCCATAAACAGGAGAGCTCCCAAAGCGGAGTAAACAGTGTTCAGAATCTGAAATAAACAAAAACACCGAGGTCACCTCAGTGTACGACAAAAGAAGCTAGTGACCGCTGCCGGTGTTACACCTACCGTGTTGTACGTAAAGATGGTCAGGATTCCAAACAACAGGAGGATCCAGACGGCAATGAAGAGGAAGCCAGCACAACTTGTAAAGTCAAACTAAAAAAAAAAGCGAGACACAAATGGTTAGTACTGGAACTAAACATTTTGGTAGATATGCAGGACGTTTCACAAATGACCGGGAATAACTAAAGGAAAAGGCACTTGGAATAAAGGAATTATTCCTTTGGGATAACGTCGTCGACCATGGTGGACATCAGGTTACGACTGTAAAGTGACGATTAGCAAATGAATTACTTAAGTTCCACCAACTAACTTTTGAAATAATCGCCTCAGCTGACACATTCCAATTAGGGATGTGGTGCTCGTCATCAATATATGCCTAGCTGCTGTTAGAACTCGGACAACTAAATTCTGCTCCGAGCTACATACTGGTAAATTTAGGCAATATGTAGACGAGGAGAATGGGGGTGCGCCTCCTTCAGTGACGACGTGCCACAGTACCTTGCCGTGTCATATTGGCACCTAATATGACATTTCCACTAAGTGTGTAAATGCAAAAATTTTACCCCGCGTAATGAACACACACCCCAAATATGCGTCAATTTTTCGGGAAAAAAATATGTTCATTATGCGAGTAAATAAGGTAGTTGAATGTGAGTTACTCCAGCAAGTCAAATTCGAATCACGTGACAACACAGATCTGCAGCAATGCTGGACGTGGGTATGTTTTCAAATTTTGGAACGCAGCCATGGTTATTGTGAGTGCACGGCGCATATGCAGAAAGAATGGTGAGGCAAATTACACAAAAACACTTGCTACGGTTGTAAGAGTTGAGTGATCCCGTCCTAAAGGATGTGTAAACAATGAGGATCATCGTTCATATATCCACTGCTGCTTAAGGACGCATTCAGACTATCCTGAAACGTAATGCATTAGTCTTAGAGGAATCTGGCCAGGGATTTTGAAAATTTTTATCATCTCGAAGTTTGAGTGAACCATACTACTATTAACGTAGCAGCTTGGGCGAGTTGGTTGCTCATTTTTACACACACTACAGCGCACTAAAGCAAACAACACTCACTCCTTACACACGAAAAATAAAGCAAAATTCAAACAAACCGCGCTGACTAACAACTCGTTTTTATATTGTTGTGCAAGACGAAGACTCATACCGTAAAGACTATTGTGCAAGACGAAGAATCACACCGTAAAGGTTGTTGTGCGAGACGAAGACTTGCAAATACAGGAAGGAAGAAGAAGTTCAGTGTGTGCGAGTGAGAGAATGGACGCCATTAAAGGCTGACGGCGAACCTGACGAAACAAAGCCTTCGAATTGCCTTCTGCCATAACAATTGGTGTCAGAAGTGGGATCATGGAAACCCGAAGCACCGCCCAGGAGAATCAGCACCAGGTCTTGGAAGCCATCAACGCTTTGAAGGAGTCACTAGACAGTCTCCACGAAGAACACACTCGCCATCGGGAAGAGCATCGGGAAGCCTTCGCAGAATTGCGACGAGAGGTGGCCGCTCGACTCCAAACTGATAGTGAACCTGAAGCTTCACCGCTGCTTTCGGGATCTCAAAGCGTAATGCCAGCACTGCCTTCGTCTGGTGAGGCCACCGGAACTATGCCTGATGACAGCAGTGGTTCCCGGACCTCACCCATCGACCATGTCGGGGACCACGCAGTCGTAACAGATCCCCTGTCGTCGCAGCAAAGGACTTCCTCTGAGGGAGCAAGCCAGCAGCAAGAACTACAGGGCCAAATCGCCCCAAAGATGATCGTTAAACTTGACACATACGATGGACGCAACCCCTGGGGTACCTTCCGGACGCACTTCGACCTAGTGGCAGACATAAATGGATGGAAAAATATTTCACGAGGAGCTTTCTTGGCGTCAGCACTTCGAGGGGCAGCACTGGAAGTACTGCAAAATCTACCCGCAACTATACAGAGAGACTACAACTCTCTCGTGAATGCTCTGGAGGGACGCTTCGGAGACAAGCATCTGGGGCGACTATACCACGCTACGCTCCGTACACGTGTACAACAAAAGAATGAGTCCCTGGCAGAACTCGCGACAGACATCGAAAGACTGGCACGCCATGCCTATGAAGGTTGTGCAGCCTCTACTCTTGATTTGGTTGCAGCTGGGCACTTCGTGGATGCTATTTCTGACTCGGAGGTACAACAGTTTGTGCGGCTTTCGTCACCTGGTTGCATGCGTGATGCTGTTGCGCGAGCCATGGAGGTGGAAGCGGCCAGGAGAGCTGTCAGAGCTACCCGTCGGGTATCTGCCGCCGTTGAGTTCCCACCCGCCCCGCCATCTCGTCAGCCTGCTCTGCGGCACGAGTGCAGAACATCGGTGGCACCTGCGCGTCGTAGATCCCCACCCACGTGCTGGAGCTGTGGCAGACAAGGTCACCTACAGCGCTATTGTAACTGGAATGGTACCGAGACACGGCTGCAAGGAAACGATGACTCTATGACGGAAAACTAGTGTCAGCCGAGCTTACCGGCCAAAACTCGGCTGAACTGAAAACTAAGGAGCCGGTAACTGCATTCCAGGTGCATAAATTGCGGGCCGACAAAGACGGACTTTTCGTAGATGGGCAACTCGAGGGTATTACATGTAGTATGCTTCTGGACACTGGGGCAAACGTCACCCTAGTGAGACCTGATATATTCAACCAAATAAAGGGATCTCTAGAATCGTACAGACGGCTCGCTGAATGCTCCCTCCATACAGCCACAGGCGATATAGCACCAGTCACGGCGTCATCACAGCTCGTGTTCCGTTTTGGCAGTCAAGAATTTTCACACGTGACTTATGTCGCTGATATATTTGAAGAATGTATCCTGGGCCTTGACTTTCTAAAGGAACACGGTTGCTCGATGGATCTAAAGAATCAGACACTAGATCTGAGCGAGGAAAGCATCATCCTGTGCAGCAGACGAGCGCTCTTGAAAAATAAGGGTGGATTCCTCATCTGTTCGAAGTCAACTGTTGTTTCTCCGCAGTGTGAAACCATCGTTTGGACAACTGATGGCAATTGCTGTTCTGAAGGTATCGCGGTCGCTGAAGGAGATGAGGCTTGTGACAACATACCAGGTGTTATTGTCGGAAAAACACTTGTGAATTTCAGCAATGAGCGCGTCCCTATCCGTATTGCCAACCTAACGGATAAAGCGATAAACATCAAAAAAGGTTTTCGAATGGCGACTTGGTCCCACGCTGCGAGCCTTAGAAGCCTGAGAAGAGAAAGTACCAACGTGAAGCAAGATGGGCTGCCAATGCCTTTGCTGGAACTAGCAGACCGCTCCAAGGAGCACCTCAGCCAACCGCAACAAGAGTCCCTTTTGAATTTAATCAACGTCTACAGAGATGTCTTCGCTTGCTCCCCATCAGAGATCGGGCGCACGAGTGCTGCTCACCACCACATAGATACTGGTGACGCTATTCCGATCAAGCAGGCACCTCGGAGAATTCCGCTCGCTAAGAGGAATGAGGTCACTGAAATGATCCAGGATATGCGAAAACAGGACATCATTGAGCCCTCATCTAGTCCATGGGTCTCACCTGTAGTATTGGTAAAGAAGAAAGATGGGAGCACGAGGTTTTGTGTGGATTATCGTAGACTGAACAACGTCACGAAAAAGGACTCCTACCCTCTTCCTAGGATCGACGACACATTTGATGCAATGGCCGGCGCCTCCTGGTTTTCTACGCTTGATCTCAAGAGCGGCTATTGGCAAGTTGAGGTAAAACCCTCAGACCGTGAGAAGACAGCGTTTACTACAGGCGATGGTTTGTGGCAATTCAAGGTAATGCCATTTGGCCTTTGCAACGCGCCAGCGACTTTCGAGCGCCTCATGGACAAGGTTCTTCAAGGCTTGCCCCTCAATATGTGTCTCGTATACCTTGATGACATATTGGTGCACGGAAAGACTTTTGAAGCTGCTCTTCATCATCTGTCAGACGTCTTTGAGCGCCTAAGACAAGCGAACCTAAAATTGAATCCCAAAAAATGCTCGCTATTCCAGAAAAGAGTTTGGTACTTAGGCCACATTGTCTCTGAGAATGGGATGGAGACAGACCCCGACAAGACGGACTGTATTCGAAACTGGCCCCAACCACACAGTCATCGTGAACTCAAAAGTTTCTTAGGACTATGTACCTACTACCGACGTTTTGTCAAGAACTTTGCTACCGTGGCCAAACCACTCTATACGTTGACAGAACAGAACACGAAATTTTACTGGAACATGCAAGCTGAGGAGGCTTTTCTTCAACTCAAGAATACCCTTACTTCACCTCCTATTCTCGGATTTCCCCACCCGAATCGTCAGTTCGTCCTGGACACGGATGCAAGTAACATTGGCGTGGGTGCAGTCTTGTCACAGTTAGAGGATGGAACTGAACGGGTAATTGCGTACTACAGTCAGGTATTAAAGAAAGCAGAACTAAACTACTGTGTCACAAGAAAGGAACTGTTGGCCGTAGTTAAAGCTGTAGGACATTTTCACCATTATCTCTACGGCAAGCACTTCCTCTTAAGGACCGATCACGCGTCCCTCACCTGGCTTTTGAATTTTAAGAACCCTGAAGGACAAGTTGCAAGGTGGCTGGAGCGTTTACAACAGTACCAATTTAATGTCCAGCACCGAGCTGGTAGGAAACACATGAACGCCGATGCACTCTCGCGAAGGCCTTGCTCACGAAAAGATTGCCACCCGTGCCTTGATGTTGAAGCGCACTCCGACCGCAACAGCACGGATCCACCGTCTCAGTCAACGGTAACGCGACAGGCGGTGATCACGCGTCCATCAACCGATGATGATCCCACTGACTGGAGTGACGAAACCTTGCGTACGCTTCAAAGAGAGGACGACAATATTCGGCTTGTTATACAGTGGAAGCAAGAAGGCGAAAGGCCGGATTGGTACCTGGTTGCACCACACAACCATGTCGTCAAAGCCTACTGGGCTCAATGGGATTCTCTCCTCATACAAAACGGCCTCCTGTTTCGCTGCTGGGAAAACAACGATGGAGTGAACGTTTCCCTTCAACTTGTCCTGCCTCAAGTGCGAGTCAAAACTGTGCTGCAGGAACTCCATGACAGTCCTACCGGCGGGCATTTTGGGGTACACAAAACTCTAAAGAGAGTACGTGACAGATTCTACTGGGTCGGCGCCAGCCGTGACGTGCGCGAATGGTGCAGAGGCTGTGACCACTGCACATCGCGCAAAGGACCTCCCTCTCGTTGCCGAGGACAGATGAAAACATACAACGTTGGCGTGCCGTTTGAGCAAGTAGCCATTGACGTCGTAGGGCCACTACCAGAAACAAGAGAAGGAAATCGGTATCTAATAGTCATTGCAGACTACTTCACAAAGTGGCCAGAAGTTTTCCCTGTTCGCAAGTACGACGCAGCAACCATCACTCAAATCTTGCTTACAGACATCGTATCGAGGTACGGAGTGCCCTTAGAAATCCATTCCGATCAGGGACGCACTTTTGAGTCGCAGACCTTCAAGAATTTGTGCACAGCACTTGGCATAAAGAAAACTAGAACAACACCATTACATCCACAGTCGAACGGTATGGTGGAGAGGCTCAACCGGACCCTTAAGCAATACCTATCTCTCTTCGTCAACGAGCACCAGGACAACTGGGACGAACTGGTTCCCCTCTTTTTACTTGCCTACCGTTCAGCTGTCCACGCAGCAACAGGGTACACACCATCAATGTTGCTCATGGGGAGAGAGCTAAGAATACCTGCGGACATTATGTTCGGTACTCCGGCGCCACCACCACGGGAGGCAACAAGTGAAAATGTTCACTTAGACCACGCTCTCCATTTACACAAGAAATTGGAATGTGTCCATGACTTCACACGAAGGCATTTACAACTCAGCAGCACCCATGCAGAGACTCGCTACAATCGAAGCGCATCCAGCCACCAACTGGAACCTGGAGATTTGGTGTGGCTATACAGACCAACTAGAACCAAAGGTCGTAGTCCAAAACTACAACGAAACTGGGATGGCCCCTATGAGATCATCAAGAAACTGAACGATGTTGTCTACCGAATCCGCCATGTTAACAACCATAAACCTCAGACAGTCCATTTCGATCGTCTCGCACCATACCACACTAAGTAAACACATATGCGGGCCTCGGGACGAGAGCCTCTACAGGGAGGGGTGCAGTGTTGTGCAAGACGAAGACTCATACCGTAAAGAGTATTGTGCAAGACGAAGAATCACACCGTAAAGGTTGTTGTGCGAGACGAAGACTTGCAAATACAGGAAGGAAGAAGAAGTTCAGTGTGTGCGAGTGAGAGAATGGATGCCATTAAAGGCTGACGGCGAACCTGACGAAACAAAGCCTTCGAATTGCCTTCTGCCATAACAATATATACTTTGTCTCCTTCTATACTCTGTTTCACCTTATGATGTACCGCAGGAAAGGCTACAAGCGCGAGCTCCTTGCACTGGGGCACATCTCGGCGGCACAAGCTCTCGTGACTTAAGAGCGGCTGCCAACGCTATGACCTCGCCGCTTCTAGCCTTCGCTGCGGTACTACATAAGGTGAAACGAAGTATACCTCTTGCACTACCGAATTTACCGAATCACGTGCACCGATCTCCTAGATGCCTAAAATATTTTCTCTCTTTCTGTCAGGTGTAAAGATGGTGTACCAATACACCATCTTTACATATTTACGCCAGGAATTAGTACTAATACTAATTCCTGGCGAACATATCGCCAGGAATTATAAAAACTGTATTAGTACACCATCTTTACACCTGACAGAAAAAGAGAAAAAAAATGTTGCCGTCTAGGAGATCGGTGCGCGTGATTCGGGAAATTTGGTAGAGCAAGAGGTAGAAGACAAAGTATATATAAAGACGAGTTGTTTGTCAGCGCGGCTTGTTTGAATTTTGCTTTATTTTTCGTGTGTAAGGAGTGAGTGTTGTTTGCTATACTTCACTGTAGTGTGTGTAAAAACATACTACTGTATTAATCAAACAATCATTTAACCAATTAAAGGGTGGCAATTGATCCAGCTAAAATTTTCAATAGAGACCCAGCCCAAATAGTATATTCTCTTTTTCTATGCAATAAGAAATCGTTGGCGGGCAACCTCGGCGTTCGCCTCGTAATGTGTTATTGGTCTATCTCAATTTCATTTTTAATACCTCCAGATGTCATTGGCACTGTGAGAATTGAAGTGGGTGATCTGATCTGCAAGGTAGCCATTATTCAGAGAAAGACCTGAAAGTATCACGATGCTTGTCATTATCCTGAAGGATGCCTGCAACCATTTATTTGCACACGGCAATCAGTGTTGCCTTATTTTTGTTAATGCTCAGAAGGCAAAGGTATCAATGTTCTTGCTTTAATAGTTCGTCACTTTCTATCATTTCTTTAAATTTTCATCGCTATTTAGAAATATTGGCTACCCAAATGAGCTCTTGACAAAGACTATCATGTTGCATCATGTAAATTATTACTTCTGAAGCCTGTTAAAGCTGGGCATATTTAAAGACTTACCACGTCGCAGCAGCAGTGAACCAATTTGTCTGCTATTTTAGTAAATTAAATGCAGAAATGGAAGAAAATGACCCAGGAAATGTGCATCCCTACCTTCGAGTGGCAGGAGAAGATGGACACTGCCAGACAACAGGCAGCACAAATGCCAGCAGCAATGAGGACGGTGTCAGTACTGTGGAAGCTGAAAAAGACGTTTGGGTGGTTACAGGCTTATATATCGACAAGATTTAAATTTCGGGGTTTGTTTTTATTTTATATGCTCCCAAATGTCATTTATTGAAGACACACGCATCACCAGACTAAGCAGGTGGGCTCTTTCCTTCCTCAATATAGCAGTTATTATTTTTGACATTTTCAACATGAAGCTCCAAAGATAGCAAGAACTTATCTGACAAAAAATGAAAAAAAACAGCGCAAACAAAATCTGACAAACCACCACCTTACGCAAAAAAACACAAAAGAGCTGCAGATAGGTAGATAGGTGAAGGCCAACCCGGACGCCACCGACATGGAAATGGCAGAACCCGTTCAAGCCATGGACTCTTTTCAAACTGGGGGGCACAAATCAAACTCTGCAACTATCTTCCCGAAGCTGTGGTTCATATTTCAAAACCTGGACATTTTTGCTCAGAACTGGCAACCATTTTCTTAGCATAATTAACAATCATTTGTTGTTTTACTGACTGACCTCAATGTTTGGGGCTGTTTTGAAAAGAGGTCTGAAAATATTCGAAAGTTCAAATAATTGTGTTTGCTGTTCAGTTTGATTCATAGCACCCTTGTACCATTTAAGGTATATCTGAGTTTTTCAAGTATTCAACTATTGCGAGAGACGTCTGCAGAATTCTCCAATTTCTTCTATCAAGCTTCACTGCTTTGCGCCGGTGCTCTGGCATGAAACTTCACCAATTTGCGCTGGAGTACATGCGCCAAGTTTCACTGCGATGCATCAGCATGAGAGGAGCAACGGCTGGCCTATCAAAACAACTCGGTTGGGAATTTTGCCTCCAATTGTAGGTCAGCCTTTTTTAGTTGTAATTATACTTTGACACCGGATTTTAGAGGACAGTGCCACAAAAGAAAACCTCAACAGTGGGCCAATTTTGGATACAGTGCAATACCTGGTTAATATGAGCAAAGCTGAAGGAACCTTCAGGCATACCAAAGGCAAGATTAATATCTTGGGTCCAAAAAGGTCCATATCAGATATTAAGCTGACCAGATTTCTACTATTTCCAATAAATCCGGTAGTCATTGCTTTGCTAGCTATATTATTGTTTTATCCAACTCGTCAAGGCCCTTTTTTTACAAATAAAGGTACCTATATGTAATATTTTTTTTTATGAAATACAACTGTCCCTTTTCATGAGTGTTTTCTAGAAAAAACTTTCAGTCATGATAAGTATTCATGCTCAATTCAAGTTATATGCAAAGTATTCATGCTTGAAAATATTTGAGTTAGATAAACACAGTTAGATATTAACATTCATAATCAATTTGCAATAAAAAGTGAATCACACATCTCTAGTATTGAAACAATTCAGATATCAATACATTTTTGTCTACATGTCTGCATACTTATTTCCTTGCATAAAAAGTTCAAATTTTATTTATATTTTTCATTTTTGACCAGTGTGTGCACTTATATTTTTTGTCCGTGTTGATTGATTCTTTGTTTTCCAATCAAAGTTGTTACCAAACTGTATCGTAGTGGTAAATATGTCTTAGCAGTATCTTGAATAAATAAATAAAAAAATGCCAAACTAGGATGCACAAAGGACAATAGAAGGCAACCCTACAGACCAAAGTATCACTTTGTTGCTCTGTTGCCACACTCAAAGGTTAAAAATGGTGATTTTGGCATCCTCTGAAAGTGATGTCGCAGATATGAAAATAAATACTTTAATGACGGACGCGAGATTGAGTTCGACACAGAATAAGTGTTGAAAACACACGATCTTAGATAGAGAATACTTTACAGTTGGTGAGAGGCTAAGAATGCAGTGACAAAATGGGCTACAAAGGAATTCGTATCACTTTGCCAGTTGGTTGCTTCCACTTGTCTCCGCTACGTATCCTACGTCACGGCTTTAGAAACAATCTCTTTTCAATGTGGCGGCGCACATTGTTGGCGGAGCGACACCCAGAGACGTCGGCTTCTTGCAGTTATTTTTCCGGTTTTTATGTACCCGGGCTTACGCCACAAAGCCGTGGCGTCATCTGCTTTCGCGCGCGGTAGTTTCCGCACAGCAACGTGCGAATCTAACTGTCGCATTGCCGTTGAAGTGTTCAATGTGCCGAATTCGTCGAGCAAATAGACCTAGCAACAGACGAGACTAAGGTTGACGAGCTTCGTCGGTGCCAATGTCTCCTCTTCATCCGTTTGATGCTCAACCCTCACTAAAGTTATGTCGCAACGTCGTAACAGCACGAGCCTTCCTCTGCAATAGCTTTTGTGGGACGACATGAAAAGTCCGTGGTCCCTCTAGCAATGCGAGATGCTCGAGCGATGCCACCACTGCGCTACCTCGCCAGTCTCCGTCCGCTTCTCCACTGGTTTTAGTAAATTAAAAAGTGCCTGTGGAAAAGACACTTTTGAGGCACCACTTATTCGCTTGTGAGACCTGGGACCCCTGTCAAGTGTTGACGTTGCAATCGGCCCAGTAGTAAGTCGGGTAGGCAACAATCGTCTCGTCAGGAGTCAGGGGATGGTTACAATTGTGTACTGCCGTCACCCTCAACGACGCAAGGTAGGAAATCTTCCGGCCCTCTTCTCCATGTCTTGCAAAGTAATCCAGGTTCCTTTGCCGCCTAGCAGTGATGCTGATTGGCTCGATCGGCAGCGAGCTTTGTTGCCTACGTGTGGGGTTGATACGCTGCCCGTGCTCCCATGTCGCGCCGCCACATTGTGAAGCAGACATGTTGTTTTCTCGATGACGGAAGGATTGGAAGCGGGCGCATTACGCCCGTGGGTGCAGCACAAACTGCATTCTTAACCTGTCACCGACTAAGTATCAAACTTGCCAACCTTATTCTATATCCCCGAGCAACTAAAGAAGTGCAAGTCATACCTTGATATCACGCCAACGAGGTAAGACATGACCAGCGTCTGCAATACAATAATGTTTTGAACCATCGAGCTGAGACATTGTTAGGTATGATACAAATATCGCAAAAAGCCTCGTTTCAAGACCGCCGTTGAGTATGTCATCCAGTGAAGAGCCATCCTCGTGCAATAACCTATGTCTGGGGCATTTGAGGTATAATATATAAATAAATAGACAGAAAGAGAGACGGGCCATGAACTGAGCGGAGGCACCACGTGATAAATAAGGGCGACATTTCCGCGGCGCCGGCGGGTGCCAACTACAAATTCGTATAGCGCCGTAAATATAGCTCTAAAATTTCTTTTCCTTCGTTGTTATATGGTTTTATGACATCCTTTTTCCGTCTAAGCTGTTTAAAAAAAATGTTTTTTTCCTTTGCATGTGTCCTTCAAAGCTTAAATGGAGTGCACATTGATTTGGCCAGCACTCTTTCCAAACAGAACAAATGACCGCATCTCCACGTGGTGAATGATGTTAATTGGGGCGAAGCTCTGGTGGTGCTGATAATACTGATTTTGTTCATAGGTAGTGCTGATGGTGCTGATTTTTTTTTTTATTGCTCATAGGTAGTGCTAAGTTCCGGGTTGCGTTTCGACTTCATTATTACTGCTTTATGGTCGGTGAAATGCAGAGCCAGTGGTTCTTCTAGCGAATCAGCTTGGATCTGCTAGAAGCCGTGAGAACGCATTTCCACCGCTTAAGTCAACCATCCATGTCAGAAAGAGAATGTGTTGTATGGATCGTGGTTATATATGCAGTTGAGCATTCGACCGCAGCGCCCTCTCGTCTATAAACGTTTAGCCAATGCGTGCAAAGTTTAACGCGATTATCTATGCATTTGACCACAGCACCCTCTCCTGTATAGATGTTGAGCGGCTACATGCAACGTTTTATCCATGACATCCCCAGCTCTTGAGTTACTACCACATCTCAGAGCCCCCTACTCGTCCCGCAGTCGTGGCCGAGTGGTTAAGGCGATGGACTAGAAATCCACTGGGGTCTCCCCGCACAGGTTCGAATCCTGTCGACTGCGCAAACATTTTTGCTTTTTTTAAGAAGACAGATGGGATGGAAATTGATGTGAGCACGGACGTCGGACAAGGCTAGACCCTAAGGAGCTTCGCCCCTAAAACAAAACAAGCCTAACGGGTTGCTTCAGGCGATATGTCAAGGTTTCAATGAAAGTGTTCAATTGCCTACCCAAATGAGAGGACCCTTGACCCAATAAACAGTACTCACAAATAAAAACAGCACGATAATGTTGGCAGGGTACGATCTCCTGTAAAAAGGATTGACATTCACAAATTGTTATGGCATCCAACATAAAAAATCAAGACATTAAAAAAAAAAAATTCAAGATGAGGCATAACCACTTACCTGAGCCCCTTGCAGCAAATAAGTGCGATGTACATGACAATGAACGAGACGCTGCAGGAAGAAGAAAAAGGAAGCGTCCACATGTGACTAACAACCAGTGTTAAAGGAAAGCTGAAGGGGTTCTGTATGTGAGTAAAAACACTTAAATCGTCTTCATTTGGGCTCCAGCATCACAAATATCGGATTATCTTTCAATTCGGCGCACAGAGGCTGCAGAAAATCATTTTTAAAGTACCTCTGAAGCCCCTCCTTCCCGAAGCATTACGTCAAAAAAGGAATTTTCGGAATCTCCACTCTTGCGCATCTACAGCGCCTATCAAAGCTATGCACGCGCCACTGGCTATATTCAAAAAGGTAAAAAAAAAAGACGTTACAGCTGGTGTCAATGCGGCGGAATACACCTGGCAAGCTTGAAATTGCACGCATCATCCACACGAGCGACACACACTTGGCGGTCGAAAGATACTTTAATGACGTGACAACTGGTCAAAGGTTTTTTGCATTTTCTTGCGTTTAGTTACATCTTCGGGGAAAATGAAGGTGATTTTCAAATTCACAGGATAAAAATACTCTAAAATTCATTACTAACTTGTTTTGTTTTTTTTTTTCAAGAACCTCTTCAGCTTTCTTTTAAAGAGGGCATCTAACGATTTTGTCCTCCAACAAATGAAGACTGGGCCAGAATCCCATTAATAAATAAGCAATACTCACTATGCACTGATGTAAACAGCACCATTGTTCTGCACAAAGCTCTTGACGTGGGGTCTGAAATATTAGGTAACCGAAGCATTCCTGTCAGTCTAGAACTGAACGAGCAACCCAATTTGCAACAAAAAGTTAGGTCTGCACTCACTCGTATATAAAAAGAGCCACTGCTCCGAAGGTGATTGTCAGCTGTACCATCAGAATGGCGTACACCTGAAAAATGTCAAGAAAAAACGTCCATCTCAATTTAATAAAGACATATACAAAAAAAAGACAGCGTGGAAAATGTTTCCTTAGGAACCTAGAACCTATTCAGTCCAAAATATACAGTGTTGGACATTGTGAGGTCGGCCTGCCACTGAGATTAGCAACACTGGTTTCTTGACGAAGATGAGAAATTCAGCCAAATGCCTTCCAACATGCCTCAAAGAGTAGTGATTTCAAATTATCAATGGTATTGCCTATTCGCGACTCCAGCGACCTATAGGGGGCGCCACCACCAAACAAACATGGCGGCTGAGTCCAGGTCGCGTCGGCTCAGCCGGGCCGCCTGAAAGGGTGGCGCATTCATTTTAACAAATTTTCTTCTGTTGAATGCCCAATTTTATGGGTATTTGAACTGAGACAGTTAAGTGTAGCAGGTGCGCATAAACTTGCCGAGCATAGTTTTGTTTTGCCAGTGTTTTTTGTTCTTTTCATGTCAAACTTTCGTTTCAGAGACTTCGATCAAAACCGAAACTATGGGCTCCAGACAAACGTTAATAGACTCTAATTAGTTTTGATCATCTAAGGAAAGGGGCGAGGGCTACAAAATTGTTCCACCAAGAGTAATTTTTAGCTAACTCGCATGCCTCGACCATGCGACTTATCTGTCCGCGAAATTGAGCTTTTGTGCCTGTCCGCGTTTCAAGAAACAGCTCCAGTCGTGTGCTCGGTCAAGAACACAGGCTGCAGGAAAATTACGAAAATTAAGCAAGCGCTTCTTGAGCCAAGCAGCATGTCAACTCGCTGGCGCTTCACTAAGCAGCTGATACTCGTATTTCAATTCAGGTTTTAGTAGCAATCGAGAAGTCATTTTGACGAATATGCGGATTATGTATTATATTACGTACTATGTCCCACTAAAGCGATATTAGTGTATTCTTCGGGTTCAAATATGAACTTAGTTAACAAACTATTAGGTGAACTGGTGAATAAAAGTATATTTGACAGACAGAGAGATACTACTTAAACTTAGCCAAATGGTTCTAGCCGGTAGAACGGAGACGAATGTGGACAAACTGAGGAGAGTCTTCATCGGAGATTCACTCAGAACCTCTCTGCATTGAGCTTGACTTCGAATCCTGAACGGATAAAATGAGTATTTTTTTGTGGCCGGTCAACCTGAGCAATGTAGACGTATATTGCCGCTGGCTTCGACAGGGGTTATAATATAAATATTGGAGGCGCGATAGATCCTAATGACGTGACAGCTTCTAACTTTGCGAGATGCGTCCCCCACCTTTTGAAAGCACATAATTTCTTTCATTAATCATATGCAGCGAGCAGGTTTTCTGAATCAAGTAATTGCGAAATTAGCCCAACTCCTTCAATGTGGTCTTTTTCGGTGAAAAGCCGCCAAGATGAATAGCCAACGCACCGGCCGGCGTTAGTGGCTCAAATTAACTTGAAGCTAATCGAGCACAACCAAACACAAGGAAAGCAGCTATCGAACCTCCCCATTCACTTGACTGCAACATTGGTGTTCCCTCCAGTGAAACACTTCGTCTGTCGACCTCAGTCCACTGTTATACATCCTTATAAAGAAACCACTTATCAGTTACCAAGCAGTCGTCACTTTGAATGTGATTAGAGAAAGACGAGAAATCAAAACGTTTTTCCGTGATTCCTCCTCATCCAAAAAATTGAAAGCACGCGACCGTGTGTTGTGGAGTAAACGGGCTTTCAAACACGTGATGGAAAGAAACAATCTACTGAGGCTTCACCACACTAATGAACACTCAGGCAAACTTAAAAAATTTTCGGACCTTCGTCAAATTACATTGCTTGCCCCCGCGCCGACAGCACGTGTCCGCGAAAGCCATCAGAGACGCGGCGGGGCGCGGAGCGACCTGGACCGACTGGTTCCCGGTTTTCCCGCCTGGCGGCGTCCGTTTTGCTGGAGTCGCGAATATGCGACTATTGTAAAAGCGCTGGTAATACTACTGGTCATAAAGAATGTGAAGAGTCCAACAAGGAAATCTCATAGAAAATAACCGAAAGCAACTCAACCTATACAAAGAAATTTTCGGAAACATCCACATGCTATTATGTGATTATTATTGAGAGTATCAGCAAGTTTACGACTAGGAATTCAAGATGCTGTTTGTACCATTTTACTAAATGTTTAGCAGTTTTGAGTTCAGCTTTTGACAGACTTAGAGAGAACAGCTTCTATGTTTCAATTGTTTCATTACAGTCAACCATCAAGAGCACTATTAAGTTTGATGACAATACTAAAAGCTCCATATCAGTACCCAAAAGGCCAGGTCACATATACAGTAACACTATAGCCTACCACTGATTCCACATTAATACAAACTGTACCCTTTAGAATACGACACTTTCACAGTGAGTTGGGGGCACTTCGGGTAGGAGATTGGACCCTTCTTGCTGAGAAAAGCAACCACCGTGCTTTTGCTAGTCAGAAGCTCAGTGCTCTCAAACGTCTCAAAAAGCCCTCGAGCCTATCCTGCAATGGCTTTTTATCAACGGCAGCACACCGCTCCCGTGGCTAATTGCGCTTGGGCTTCCTCGCGGTGGAAATGACCACGGACAATTTAGCATGCAGGCAACCTGGTCCAACGCTTTGGACCCGATCTGCTGCACTCTTCATGCAGAACAATAAAAAAAAATGTATTGAGCACCTTTTACAAACAGCAACCACAAATGAATTACTTAACTCTCTCTCTCTCTCTCTCTCTCCCTCTCTCTCTCTCCCCCCCCCCCTTCACACACACACACACACACACACACACACAAAGAAAAAAACTTTCGATGTGCTTGAGTGGGACCATATGTCACAAAATGAACTTCACTCAAAAGTTCTTGGGGGGCAATATTAAGGTAATGAAACTCATTCGAGAAATTCCAAAACATGCTTCATATTGTTTTGTCTAGCCTCGGCCTATCCGGCAATTTCACACACTGACGCTTGCTTCACGAACCCGTTCGACTTCAATCCCTTTTCACGTTTCGTAAGAAAGCGCAGGTTCGCGATTCAGAGAGCTCAACTGAACTTTGTGCAGAACACCTGCCTGGGAACAAGAGATCATAGACAGAACGACCCGATGCACACCACTTAACAGACGCAAACGCATATTCATGTAATCGAAGTTAACCCAGTTAAATAAACATTATTTAATTTGTTTCACAAACCAGGGTCGCATTATTAATTACCAAAACGTTAGCAGCCGGCCGCCGCTAACACATAGAAACACGTTTCAAGGCTACTACCAACTCCAAATGTAACTCGCCACATAACTATTATGCAACTTTTTTTTTTCTTGTGGTGGAGGGGGGATGCATTTTAGGAGTGTTTTGCCCTTCTAACAAAAAATAAAGAAAAACTTCTAAAATATTCTAATTTCAATACAAATGTGACTGCCAAGGCTACCATGCATATTTTGCATGTTCATAAGCCATCTCACCTGGACCACAGTATTCAACAAATGAAGCAAAGTTGTTTCAGAATATAGACAGAGAGAGAGAGAGAGATAAGTTCTTTATTATGGAGATGTTGGTATTCTTTAAATGACACCGACATGCAAATGCAGTCAGGAAACACAAAAAAATGTCTCGGAGAAAAATGTTTAGTAAGCAGCAACCCTTGTGCACAGCCTCATATAAGACATTCCCATTGTTGATGTAGCAAGAAGCGTTGCTCGTGACTGGCTGCAGTTTTGTCAGCTCGCGCGTCATACACTTGCTCAAAACACAGGCCATAAAGCACTCACAACAACAACCCCTGTTGACGGGCGAGCAGGCATTGTCAAAATATATACAACACACTAACCTTCCTGACAAAGGCCTGCCTGATTTCTCTGCTTGAGAATCCCGTGCAATCGTCCAAGGGTGCTGTGTCTCCATCTGCTCCGTTCCCGGGAGATGTGCCTGACACGGGTTTTTTAATGACATAAAATTAAAGAGTATTACCGAGATGTCCAGACATCTTCCAACTATACATGCCCTAAGCATGTCAATACTTCCTAAAAACACTTATTCAGCTGCACATGGGGTTTTGCGCACTTCATTGACAGTGTCGGCCATCATTCGTGTCTGTTGGTACGCTTCATACTTCACAATTGACAACCAAGCATCATTCAGAGCTGTCACCAAATTTCTGTCTTCTATACACTCTCGATGAAAGCTTGAAATACGAATTCTAATACCACAACATATGCAAGACGAAGCACAATGAAGAGGAGGCCCGTGGAACTGGCCTGTTAACACAGTTTCAGTAATGTAGGCACTGCACCAAGCTCACTATCTGGTTTTCTTTGTTTTCTGCCAAGTTTTTACAAGCACACATACAATAGTCTGCCAAGCAATAGCCTATCTAAAATCGAGTGTGAATTCGGTGAAAACAGGGAGTGGGCTAAATCTCGATGAGGGATCAAAAAATGTTGAAAAATACTTTTCTAGATTTCTTTTTTGTCGACAATCTTCACTTATCATGAAGCGAGGTCATCATGGGCTGGGGCACTGCTAAACTAAAAAAAGCTATTTTTTGTATTTTCGAAAAAGAAAAAATTAACTTGCCAATTTTGGCCATCGGGGGATATTACGGTATTTACACATGGTCATGAGAAAACAAACAAACACCTATCAAGTGCCACCTTCCAGTGCTCTGCCTTGCACAAATGCAATATTGCTTTTTTCAATCATGCACATGTCTTGTTGAACCAGAAGCATAAGAAAGCAAGGTACAAGGAAGTACAGTTGGTATGGTCATTTTTTAATCTTGCTTTGTTTGAAAACCTCACAATATTTCTTCAACATATGCAGCTGTTGGAAACCGGGACAGTAATGCTTTGACATGAAAAGGTGAGTAGATAAACCTGATCGGTTTTGAAACAGTCATCTGTCTTAAACAATAAAACTCCTTGTGAAGAGATGTGATGCCAATGTTATTGCAACTGAATGGAGCAGAGTGTCCTCTCTGTACGTACTTTTGTGACATCATGCCTTAAAGGCACTGTTTTAACCACATTACATAGTGGTAATTAATAACCTAGCTGCAAGGCAGCACTTTCCTTTTTTTTATAATTTTACTATACGACACATTGCTGAAAATGCCTTGGCACTAGGGAGACAAACTGAAAAGGTGCATTTTGCCAGGTGGCTCAAGCCGATCATCATTCAGACCCTGCTGGACAAAGTCGTTTGAGCCTAGAGCATTTTTGAGGGCTAAGAAAGAAAAATCAATTGTATGAGACACCATCTCTACATTGTAGATTTAAGTACCTCAGTGGGCTTCTGACAATGCACAATACCCACCCACCATGAAGGCCAGGTCTAATAAAATATTTCAATAACTGCCTGCCTTTGTCCGCACACAAATAGAACAGTTTGCATCGGCTTCCCCATAGCAGCATCTAGAAGACTGCTAGATGCTGTAATAACAACCAGCTAAAACCAAAAGTGGGGTAAAGCGAGCGATCAGGAAGGAACCCAATGCCACTCCTTGAGACTTCTATCATATAACAGCCTATGCATGGTCTTAATGCAAGGGCAATCTACACTTACCGTAAGGCTTTCCATAGGCTGGGTCCGTCGGCTCTCCGTACGGAGGTGGGGCTGTTGGAGGCAGGCCCATGGGAGGCTGTTGGGCCGGAGCAAAGCCAATGTACGGTGGCGCCATCATGGATACCGGTTGGCCTTGCGGTGCCGGTCCACCAGTAGCCGACGAAGTGGGGCCCACACCGGCCAGAAAGGGACCACCTGGTGGGGCCCCTTGAAATCCTGATGCCACATCGTACATCGGTTGCGGTTGCACCGGGTATGGCAATGCAATCGGGGGAAGCATGGAATGCTGGTTCGACATGGTGACCTGCAATGCACGAATGATACGGAAGGACGTATAATCGCAAGAACTCCAAATACACAAAAATTGTGGACAAAAATAATGACAATATAGTATGTACACACTTCTTACAAAACGTACACAAGTCCCTATAGATGCTATCAGCGCTTTAGTTACCCGACCTGCCACCAGTCGGGACGCTCCCCAGGCCGCCATTGCCCGCCTTTATTTTGTCCTGCGCCCGCACACCGATGTGACGATGGGCGACTGCAGTTGGACGCATAAACGGCGTCCAACGGGCAAGGCGCACTCTGTAGTGGGTTGCAAAAACTGCAGTGGCAACACTGAAGTCTGGAACCGCGCTATGTGCACTGAACGTGCCCTGCTGAAGCACATGAACTGTCCGTGCTTGCTGCCGTTTTTGATGCACTGATTCACACCAAATCACCCGAGCAGAGCATCCCCCAAAATTAACTTTTTTTATTTCTTGCCAGGCGATCTATTATGGTGTCAGAAGACTACCCAATAATATATTGCTAGTATCACATATATTTCTAATAAAAAAGTGAAAGCCGACTGGACTTGGAATGAAGAAGAAATATAGAGGAGAAACATACCAGAAGTCATGTGGCTGTGCAACTTTTTTCTTTTTTTTTTTGCCAATCGCCGTATTTGCAGCTTTTTAGAAACCACAAAAAATAGGTGTCATATGTTTTGTCCATTTCTAGTATTGAGTGTACGCTTCGATGATATACGCCTTTGATTATCTTCGATGGATGTGTCTAAACCTTAGAAAATGGCGCGGGACCACGGAGAAGAGAGTTAGCGCAACTGAAACCGGCCAGTTCTCGATCGGCGGTTTTCGGGTGGAAAGAAAATGAATTTCGAGTCACAAATTGTGTTCTGGGTAGTTGGGCTCTTATATACAGGGTGTTTTTTTTAACCTTTACAGATTTGTTTTAAAAAAGCCAAGAAAGTTACACTTGTGCAGTTTGTGCAGGTGAGTTATATGGCCAGGGGGACATTATGTGGGTGGCTAATCTTTGCAGTAAGTCGGATAGTTAATTAATATTCATAGAATTAACTTTGTAATTAGTGAAAATAGACATATGGTTCCAATTAGAAACTTGCTGAGCGTCATCGAAAACCACAAAATCGACTCTTTCTAGAATGACTTGAAGCTCGTGGGAAACTCAGGGGCACGCCAAATTTACCACTCGTGAAGCAGGCGCAAAGCTAGCAGTGGCAGAGCATGATGATAATCTTATCATCCGAGTTCCACCGAACCTTAACAATGAGGTTAGGTAGCAGCGGACGCAGTCCCGAATCACGCTACGAGAGTTTTGGTTTTGAGGCCTTATCAGCGCAAGCCTGCAAGTGTGGGTCCATTGTTAAAATAAAGGCAGTAACACTGTGTTCTTACTCTCTCTCGGAGTCACCGTTTTGTACGCGAAAACAAATGCAACAGGTGCTGAGCCTTCACCAGATAACAATATTATTGTAAATATTCATGTTTTTCGAATTGAGACAGTTGACGCCAGCTTTGCATGAAAGTGTGCATCCCATATTCGCAATGTCTCGTTTTTAACCTTTAAATGGCAGTTTCTGGTGTTAGGACACACACGTGACGTTTAGGAAAATGGGAAGAGTTAGGACTGTCGGATGTGCAACCTCGAACGTGATTGTTCTGTGTTTAGTTATATGCAAATACATTAAAATTGCAAAGCAACACTCATTAAAACGCAATATCATTTTGTTTTGGCACAAACTACTTGTGAGCCAAAAAGAGGATTGTTATAATTGCGAGGAGTGCTTTAAAGTAATTGTCAGTCAATGTTTCAACTACTTCGTTGCATCACTGGAAAGGTAAAATGAAAATCATGTGATCCAGAATGTACCGCATCATTTGTCTCTTGCGCAGTGGACTGCGTAAATTACTGGTCAATCTTGTTCCTGAGGCAGATATTACTGAAGAAAACCAAACTCGCAAAGGCTCACAAATGCGCAGTTACCTTGTTGCCTACTCCACACCGCACCGTGACCGCTGGTTGTACTACCCTGTACGATGGTAACCGCACGGCGTCTATTTGCAATCCATGGCCCGTCGCGTTCTCGCGCGTGCGCGGACATTTCTCGAATTTTAGCCGAATCTTTGCCGAACTTTCCTTCAAAAGTTTGAAATGTAACCGGAAAGCGTATGACATCCGTTTAATTTAATCTATATGCTTTTATTTCACGGTAAACTGCTTTTATTTCACGATAAAACGCTTTTTCAAGGCACAAAGTTCAGTTTTGTACGATTCATTTATGTGTACATCGCATATAAAATATCCAGAAAAAATAAAAATGTTGAGTGGACATGCAGGTCTGATATCTCGTGGAATCACCCTACTCCATATTGACGATAAAAAGTCCCTAGGAAAAGATGAGATACCAAGTATGTTCTTAAAAAGATATGCAGAGTGGTGTTCCCACTACCTCGAGATAATATTCAGCGTATCACTCAGCAAAGGTCAGATACCTCGTGATCGGAAATGCAGAAAGTGATTCCGATGTTTAAACAGGGTGATAAAGCCAACCTAAGGAATTGCAGACCAATTCCACTAACCAGCACATGCTGTAAAAATTTGGAGCATATAATAGTTAAATATTCTATAAACTATATAGAGAGCATTAACATTGTTGGCAAAAATCTATATGTCTTTAGACGGGGATTTTCTACAACTACGCAGGTCATAGAAGTCTTCCATGAACTTAGCATTAACACAGATAACGGAGGGCAGATAGATGACGTGTTTTTAGATTTCACATTTCAGTGTCACATCCGAAATTATTATACAAGCTTAGTCACATTTTAAAAAACAATCAGATTATAAATTGGTATGAAGCATATTTATTAGATAGAGAACAATTTGTTTCTTTAAAGCAAGTAGCAACTGGCCTATTGCTAGTAATATCTGGTGTTCCGCAGGGCTCAATGCTTGGGCCCCTTTTTTTTCATTTTGTATATCAGTGACATTGGTGACGGTTTCAATTCTGCGATAACTTTCAAACACTTCGCAAATGACAATTCTAATATTTTTTCAATAGTTTAACAACAAAGAGTGCACAGACATTTGCGAAAGATATCAACGTGGTGTGATCGGTGGCTTATGGATTTGAATATAAAAAATACAGTTTATATTAATTTAACACACAGGAATCAACTTGTAGAGTATAGATATAGTATTGAAGGCGTTCCACTAATAAACTAACCGAGTATAAGCTTTTAACAGGGTGTCTAGGAAATTATTATTGAAATTCCCTGACATTTCCAGGTTTTCCCTGACAATTTCAGGTGAAATTCCCTGACCACTGTAGAGGCAGTTAAATTTATGCACCAACTCATGTTTACAAACAAACCGGAGCGCCCCTAGCGGACGCCACCGGCGCCGCGCATGCGCGGTGGATGGTGGGCAAGAAGCCCGCCGTCGCCCATAAACAAACCATTGAATTGCGTTGTTGTCGGCGTCGGTGGGAGTCCCCATGCTCTTTTTCGCGTTGGAATTGTTGATTCTACGTCCTCCTAACAATATCTGACTACTTGAGCGGCTTCAGCAAAACTATCGAGGCAAAACTTTGCGTGAATAATGTGACGTGCGGCGATTCGTTTCACGTGGACGCCGCAGAATTGCGCTAAAGCCTGATTCCCACGATGAGATTCTGCTCGCTATTTTCAGTCGCGACGTCGCTCGGACTGCAAAAGCGTGGACCGTAGCTGAGATGGTGGACATCGATACTGAAAACCGCAAGTAGAATCGGGCATTACAAGTCGGTGATGGCCACTGGTAACAATGATCAACAACTTCTTGTATCTGTTTGCACTTAGCCGACTTACCCCAACCAACCTTCAAAAGTGTTTTGAGGCCTGCACTTAGTTCTTATCGCAATTACCAGGTCAACGTTTGGTTTACGGGCCGCTGTCGTTTGAACGAGTTCACGACAAAAAGCAGCCAAGTTTGAAAGAGCAGACGAGAGTTCGAACGCACGCGCAATGGAGTACGGGCAAGAAGCACCGCGTCCCGCGTCAACAAACCATTCGAATGTCACGTTGTCGGCATCTGTGTGAGTCTGCATACTCTTTTTCGCGTTGGAGTTGTCGATTCTACGTCCTCATTGCAATGTCTTACCACTTGAATCGCCTTAGCGAAATTATCAAGGCTCGTTACGCCGCTAAACTTTCCGTTGATAATTTGACGTGCGGCGATTCATTCGCATGAACGCTGCAGAATGGACGCCAAAACCATGATGAGATTCTTGTAGCTATTTTCGGTCACGACGTCGCTCGTGCTGCAAAAGTGTAAAAGGTAGCGGCGATGATCGACGTCGATACTGAAAATCGGAAGCGGGAACAGACCAAGCGTAACAAGTAGGTGATGGCCACCGGTACCAATAATTAACATCTTGTATCTACTGTTTACACCGAGCCTACTTAAGCCTTTTGAGGCCTGCGATTACTTCTTATTGCAATCACCGGGTCAAAGTTTGGTCTACGGGCCGCTTTTGTTTGAACGAGCAGACGACAAAAAGCAGACAACTTTGAAAGAGCAGACGAAAGTTCGAACGATCAGCCGGCCGTGTGAATTTGAAGACGCACTGAACCCGTGGGTGGTCCGGACAACTTGGGGGTTTTCTCTCGTTCATGTTGGAACAAAGCAAATACATCTGGCGACCACAAATTGTGGCCCGCACACGCAATCGTAGTTCGACAGCGTCTGGTTTGCCCTGGTCACGGCTACTATCCACGTTCTCGGACGAACGGAGGGTACAAAAACACATGAAAACTGATCTTCAAACCTTTCCAGACTCTCTTGGTAAAGCCCCCATCGCAGCATTTTGACGAGAAGGCAGGTTTTTTGTCTCGTTTCTTCCAAAGGAACACAGGAATGCATGTCTGGCACGGCGACTTCTGCCCACTGCCCCAGACCGGAAGTGCGTCCGGCGCGCCACCATTGCGGCGTGACGTAGGAGAATTGAGTTGGTGTATAAGACCATTACAACACAAGGCATTGAGCATTGAGCACTGTGAGCGTCATTTTGCATGCGCTTAATCCAACTTGCACATTCCAAAATATTTGGGTTCGTCCGGTCCGGATCAAACTAGCACTTTCTTACCGCTGAAATCGTTAGTGAAGAGGCCACTTCCGGAAACAATGTGAACACGACGCTCAACCACACACGTTCATAACCGAATGACAGCACGGCCGCCAGATGCACACTTAAATACTTTCCGCTTAAAAGGCCCATGAAACGAATTTCGGGCTGGAATAAATCAATTTATATTGAGATTTTACTAATAGAACATCGTTCAGTGGGCCAAAAGAAAAAAAGGTAGAAAGTCAAAAGCCTGACTTTCAGTACGAAAATGTGAAAACACAGCAAACTATTTCGTACCTCCTTCCCTTCATAGGCACCCCCCTTTTCACTGATATATTCACGCTCGCCGCAGCGCGTCACCAGGCCGAAACACACGTCACACGGCACCGGACCTCAATTAATCCTTTCACCCCTAAGCTGACATTGTGGTGGAAGCTATGCGATTGCCAGAACAAATCAGCCTCCTCCCTTTCATCACGTGATCTCATTTTCTGCGCGTGGGTATGCGTGAGAGAGTGTGATCACGTGGCAAAAGTGTGGCTGGACCAACGAGCACGTAGCTTCCACAGCGCTGTCAGCTTCGGGGTGAACGGGGTGGGGAAAGCAACTTTTGTCCGAATTTTGAGCGACGGGATAATCTTCTAGAGGGACATGGGCTGCGTCCGGGTACACAAACGAGCGTCCGAGCAAGAGGGGTCACCCCCCTTTCTGTCTTCTTGAACTGTTTGCGCGATTTATAAGTTGAGCAGGAAAGCTAAAGATAAAAAAATTGGAAAGGTGTTTCATGACTCCTTTAAAGCTTGGATTAAATTGGGGTCTGCAGCTTTCCTATTTGTTACTAAATCTAGTAGATCTAACTGGACCTAGCCTAGTGTCGCGCTTTAAATCCAATCCAATCCTTGGGCTGGATTTGTCGGCTGTTCCCTTTGAATCGGGTAGCACACTCTACACCGGGTTAGCAGAGCCCATGCTCTGCACTAAGCTGAATATACCTATTGCCTATTTTTCGACCCCCAAGTCTCAGGGCACTCAATAGCGTTTCCAGCTATTTCCTTGACTGGGCTTGCTTTTTGACAATATCCCTTGATTTTTCATGGTAATTCAAATTCCCCTGACAATTCCCGGTTTTCCCAGTCGCTAGACACCCTGTTTTAAGAGTCCACCTCACATCAGACTTGGGCTGGAACTTCCATGTCGAGCAAGTATCTAAGGAAGCTTTTCAGAAACTCTGGATACTTAGAAGAAAGTCGGAACATGTGAGTTCGGAAGCTAAATTAACAGTTTATAAACCTTTGTTCTTGCCAACCATTGAATATCTGAGCCCTGTCTGGGAAACATTCACCGGTCAAAACATCGATAATCTAGAAAGAATTCAAAACAAAGCCGTTTGATTTAGTTATGATAGTTCTAGATCAGGGGTGCACAACATACGACACACGGCCCGGCTCAGCGAAGAAAGTTGTTTAGTATGCCATTCAATCCACCGAGCGCCCGCTCTGCTTGGCAAGCAGCGGTGAAACCCTCTAACCTACTTTTCTCAGTTTACGGCGAAGGACCTACGATTTCTCAGTTCAAATCTTCCCTCTCCGCTAATCCTGCTGATAACAATGAAACAATGTGTGCAGCCATCCCTGTCCATGGTGTGGTTCTGTCTCAAGATGTCTGTACACGGAATGCAAAAACTTCTTGCTCTTTCTCAACAGATCCCCTTCCCTCTTTCACCACGGAGGCTATCAACCCTCCACCCACCTGGTGGGATAGTTGGGGGTTGCATCGTCAGATCGGAAGACACTGATCCATCGATGCAACTGGAGCTCATCGACCTCCAGTGTCCACCAGTGCGGAAGACAATGCATCGCGAATCTCAGCCGTACAAGTTCTACAAAAACCTGGACAAGAACAAGTACGGAAACCTGGTGGACCATGCCTTGAAACTGTCGTCACTTTTCGGGAACACGTATGTTTATGAGCAGACCTTCTCACTGATGACTCTCATCAAGAATTGCCTTTGATCTGCCATGACATTGCAAGATGTGCTAAAGACGGCGACGAATGCGGGCATTTGGGGCGACGATCACCAAAAACTGTCTTCTGCGAAAATCCCTCACTCCCTCCACCGGACAAAGAAAAGAGAGACACGTTAGAGATGCTGCACTTTGTTACATCCACTTGCGCTGTGGGCAACGTACTATACACGGCAAGTACGGTCACAAACGTCCCCATCCTCCCAGTTGGCGTGACCAGCTTGGCCAAGCACAGTCACCCAAGATTTAGTATATTTTTATTTTACTTTTTTCCTTGTGCTTTAGACAGTTTCTGCAGTACTTTTTGCTGTGTCCTTCCTGTATAACGACTTAGGACTCTCTCAGGAGGTGAGAGACTATTTGGAGGTCGTGTTTGCAATATTTTTCCATATAAATCTGGACAGTAACTATAACAATGTTACTCTTTAGAGTTACTTTCAAAAAATAATACAGTTAAAGGTTATTTTCACTAGTTACAGTTACAACTTACTGAAAAAGTTAATTACAACTTACTGAAAAAAGTAACCAGTTACCGGTAACAAGTTTCTAGTTACTGCCCAAGACTGACGGCGGGGTATCGGCGATAAGCACCTACCTCAACCAGGCGCCGAAGATACGCGCTGAGCTTTCCCAAAGGGTTGACCGAGCCGGGTCTTGGTTTTAGCAATCTTACAAAAGATTTTGTTACGCAATTATTTTGCGTTTCTTTCTCGAGGTACGGTCTCCGAAGGCGTCGGGGTCACCTTTTCCTCTCCCTTGCAAAGGAAGACAACAGATTACAAGACGCATGACGTCCGGTTACCTTGACACAAAGTCGCCGCCTATAAGCATGCCCAGAAAACCCTTGTTTCGCGGCATGCGTTAATCGAAGAAAGCTTGAGCGGCTCACTAGAGGAAGATCTATAGTTCCGTTTTCTGTCAGTCGGAATTCGCAATGTTCCGACACTTGCGGAACGTAAGCACCCAGGAAACAAACCGTGATCACGACTGGTCTGAAAAGACACACTTGCAAAATACAATGCGTGAAATAAGAAAAATAAGAAGCATAAAGTGTACACGCGTTAAGCTTACCTAGCGCTACTTCACCAGCGACAAGGCAGCTCCGAGCAACAGCGATTGCGGTCAAACAGCAAGATCCGTGCAATAACACCGATTACGGACGCAACGGTCGCCACTACTACCACCCTACTACTACAACCATAGAGGCAATAACAACACAGAAGGACAATGATAGATCAATAAAAAAAAAAAGCGCTATGTAGCCGGCGTAATAGGCGGTAGCTATCGCCATCTGTTTTCTGTTTTAGGTTGTACCTAAAGCAGTTGAAAAGAGGGCACCTAGATGTCGCACCATTCCCGCATAGGTCAGAGCATAGGTCAGAGCCGTGCATAGGTACTCCCACTGATCAGTGGGTACTCCGGCGATTTCTTCATGGTCCCCGATTTGCTTGAAATTTTGCTAAACTCGCCAAGCAACATCGGCAAAATAGTATCCCAAATAGTAGGTCAAAATAGTTTTTTTCCACGAAGTTATTGAGTTTACAATTTTGGTCCTCACCGTGTTTTTCAATCTGAAAGTCTCTACTGGCAACAACGAAAAGGTGACGTCAGTGGAAGTCAACGTTACTAATAGCATCTTCGATCAACTCGCACCGGAATCGCCCTGAAACCAGCACAGTGCACAGCGCTCCTCGGTCGTGCAGCGCGATGTCGGTGCAACATCGAGGACAAACTGCGCCGCGACGGTGTACCGCGGCGAGCTCCACCTTGCGTCACTTAGCGTTTTGTTAGTTTTTTCTTGCGTAGGTCAGCGCACGGTGCCCGTCTGCTGTCGATTTCTTCTATTCTTTTACTCGCGGATTAGACGGTCCCACAGAAATAAACATCGTGGACGTGATTGTCGATGGGGTCTCGAAGCGGGTGACAATTCCACATGTATATGTTGGCCATCATTATTGGTTCAAGAAAACGAAACACCAGATAATAGCCGTACCTCGCTGTCATCGAAACGCCTCGCGCCGCTGTCCACGAAGTTCGTGCTTTTCGGGCGCTCCTTGCCACCGCAGCAATCGCCAGTAATCGCAGCGATGGCGAGAAGCTCGTCGTCTCGCCGTCAGAAGACCCGAGGAAATCATCTAGTGCAGCTGCGAGGCGTGTTCGTTTTTGCAAGATCGCCATCTCGACAGTCTCACGTCTGCTACTCCCGCCATCTTCTCGATTCCCGCTCCTGGCCGCAATGCCTGATGGGACTGCCCCCCGCGCACCGCCGATTTTCTTGGTGCGCGTTGGGGCAACGAAAAGCCGCACCGGGAGGGTGCGCTTCGTTGATCGAGGACGTCCGGTGCGCACCGGTGCACGTGATCGAAGATGAAGGGGCGCACCTCAGTGCCCCGGTGCGCACCGGTGCGGATGATCGAGGATGCTATAAAACACTCAGTTGGGAAACTCCCATAGAGACAGCTTTGAAAAAGTGGCCCCAAACTGTCTCCGAGCACCGAGCTAATGACGAACACAACGCCACCAGTTCTCCCGCAGCGGCCACTCGACAAACTGCAAGTGACTTCTATTTTGGCTTTAAGAACAGATACAGGTTATAGGGGTGCCACCCCCGTCGTGCCAGCCCCGTCTCCCGGCGGACGCGCAGCGTTAGCCGAAGTTAAAATGCACCTAGGGCGGGACGTGCTACCTGAAAGGCCCGCTGAGGCATGGTTGTATAAAAACAATATTAATTGTGCCGCAAAACCCTGCAAACTAAAGATTTTAAAAACATAACGCGCCCCTCTTTTGGTACTAAACTCCAATAAATTTCATACAAAAAAAAAAGTCTTTTCCGTTCGTTTTTACGCAAAAACAGGTTTTCAAAAAGCTCAAGGTGACGAAGTACAGACAAATGATAAAGAGTGGCGCTGTTGTCGCATTTAGCTCGGTCTCGGTGGATGCCAGCGGCCCAGGTTTCGACGGCGAGTTTCTCAACTGAGTGTTTTAGTAACGTTGGTGGAAGTGCAGGGGTTCACTCTTTGGACTGCAGAATTTGTTCCCAACTCATTCGAAGCAGTTTCATGGTGTCAAATGAATGTTTTAGAAGTTCGCTCCAGGACCCGCGCTCCAGCACGCAATAAATGATTGGCATATTCTATTTTTTAGACTGCTCGCTCGACTGGCAAGCTTGCCTTCCACTGACGTCACAGCACTGAAAAGTGCGGGTATATTTGAATGCTGGTTTTTGCATCATTTTCATTTGCCGATTTCGCAATACCTATTATGAATTTCGCGATACTAAATAGCATACCGGAAAGGGTAAAGGCCGGGGAGTCAGAAAATATAGTTAGTTGAGGTAGCTCAAGAAATTGTCGGAGTCGGTACTGATTATGAGGAAGGGATGAAGGGACGGACAAAAAAATGAAAGCCGTTTACAAATCCCTGTAACGCCGAATTGGAGCGCAGCCCTTGAGGAGTAGGGAAGGGTACTAGGGGGGTCACGTCACCTGCGGGTAGTAACGTAACCCCGGCGGGGTCACGTGATCTCGGGGGAGGGGGGGTCACGTGACCTTGGGGGGTCACGTGACCTCGGGGGGGGGGGGGGTCACGTGACCTCGGGTGGGGGGTCACGTGGCTTGGGGGTCACGTGACCTGGGAGGGGTCACGTGACCTCGGGGGGGGGGGGTCACGTGACCTCGGGTGGGGGGTCACGTGACCTCGGGGGGAGGGGTCACGTGATCTCGGGGGTCACGTGACCCCCCCCCCGGTTACGCCGACGCCGACGCCGCTCAGGCTGGAAACTGGCCCCTAAGAGCTGCGCTCTAAAACGACAAACGACAACTTCCAAATAGCAGCTCTCTGGAAGTTGTCGCTTGTTGTTGTGCGTTTCTTCGTCCCTTCCTCCTATTCAGAAGCAGTTTATCGCGCTTAGAAGTCAGGACCGCGTAAAAAGCGCCCCCCCCCCCCCAAAAAAAAAAAAAAAAATATATATATATATATATATATTTATATGGGCGATTTCATGTCAAATCGTGCCGGCAAAAAGGGTCAAATTTTTAATTTTGCTGAAAAAAAATGTTATGGCGTCGTCTCTAAAAACGCAGTAGCCACAAAGCGAAAGTTCGTGGAATTTTTTGTTCTCGACTTGCGAATTTTAAAAGAGGCCATGGCGGAAAGCAGTGTTTCTCACATCGGTCGTGGGTCGGATGTTTCGCTCGATCTCCCACCGTGGATTTTCATTTCGCATTATATTAAATTTTTCTCAAGCACTCTGTGAGCTCAGGTAAAAGGCTTACCATGAAATAATTCTAGGTGTTTTGCTTTTTTCTGTAAAAATGTCAAAAACGCCCCCTCGGTTAATTGTTGGCGAAATTTGACAATTAAATACTGGCGATCTACTTCGGTTACATCAATATTTTTTTATGTCCATGGAGAACCCAAAACATGCTTTTTTATATATAATATAAAATGGCTCAGCTGTATAAAGTATTCTTTGCAGTACGTTTACGTACTGCAAAGAATACTTTATGCCAAAACCAATATGTTATGCCAAAACCAAAAAGTACCAATTTTGAAATCGATTTTCTAAAAAAAAACTTTTTTTTATTTATTTATTTATTCTTTTTTCATAGACCGTAGATATGATAGTTGTCTACTCGAAAAGCAAGTCGAGAAAGTGTATATTTTGTTTGTATGCTCTTTATTTAAGCCTCAATATCGAAAAAAAAAAGATGTCTTCATTTAGCAAGACCGAGGTCAGACCATAGCCTCCTCTATACGGAGAAAGCCTGGCGCGTCGCGTGAAAAGACGGCCGCCGTAAATGGGAAAGGAGGTTAACCATGTTGAATATACCTGAGACTGGGGTAGAAAAACATAAAAGTCGAAGAAAAGAGCTGAGTTTGAGACGTCGTCCTGTCCCCTTCTGTTTCTTCGACTTTTATGTTTTTCTACCCCAGTCTCAGGTATATTCAACATGGTTAACATCCACCAGCTCGCCTGCACCCTTACTATTGTATATCTGGGAAAGGAGGGGCGGAGAAACGGGAGCGGAGAGAACCTTGACCGCTAGCGCTACAAAAGTGCGAGCGGCCAAACGCAGAAACAACTTTTTTTTTTCTCTCTTTTCTTGTCGCTATCGTGGAGAGGAGAAACTCAACGTCCACCCTTTCCCGTTTGTCCCTGCGCCCTTTCGAATCGCCGCGCCCGTTTCTCCCGGAGTACGAAAACGACGGTGACGAAAGCACAGAAACAAGCGTGGTTCGGGGAGCGGCCGCTCATGACCCAAGCGCTCGCTGTCTAGGTCTGCCCTTTCTGCTCTGCGCTGCCATATTGGTCACCGTTCGGCGCGCTCCTCCTCTCCTTTTTCCTGCGGCCGCGCGCTCTATGGCTCCGTCGTCGATGTGCCAGGCTTTCTCCGTATAGAGGAGGCTATGGTCAGACATAGCGACCCGTGCGTTTCTATGAATTGTGAAAAAGTTTTCTTGAATTTTTTCTTCGTTTTGTAATCAATTATAAACGGAATTTGTGGTATTGAATAGTTATTTATGTTTTGATAAGAGCGGTAGACCACGAGCAACATGTGTAATCAAATTAGCAGGCCTAGTAGGCCTTCATTATCGTAGAGGCACAGACGTTGTAATGTTTCGATTTATAAAACTTTCACTGTAAACTACCATGACTAGCCATTAGCTGTCATATTACTAAGACATAGAAAGTCACCACATCATTGATATATTATATACAATTCTTTCCGAAACCAAACGCTGGGGTATGTTCACCGCACATCGCACAGCTCACCAGGGAATGGCCCTTTCACTTCTGTAATACACAAAAATGAAGACACAGAAACGATCCGAAACACACGGAGAGATTGTCACGAAGAGGGGCAGGGAATAAAAATAAATAAATAAGAATAAAATTACCCAACTCCGATCTTAACGAAAAGTGTGTTAAAAAAATAAAAGATATAGGTTCGAGCGGTGGCGAGGTCCACGCCTGGTGGAGAGTCAGACAAAGAAGGCGACGACCCTTAAAGGTAAAGCAGAACAACAAAAACGAAAAAACTCAGCCGCACACGGCAAGAACAAAAACCAACTCCTCCGGACATTCCCTAAACGGGACACTACTAAATGCGTGCGAACAGCACCGACAGGCCGCTGCGCCATGACGAAATAAACCCAACAAGTAAAC